AAGGCTGGCGCTATCAAGAGCGCTTGCCGCCATTTTGGGAGTTTTTGATAGCAGAGCATTTTTGAAAAACAGCACTCAAACCACAACGACAATGCATAACATTATGACCACTGACTGGCGATGTGATTAGGTGGCACCTGTTCGTAGGAGGGCTGTGGGAGGTGGCAACTGAAAGTCGACATGCTGGAAGGAAATTTGACATTTGTAACTAGACAAGAGTTGAATTGACAGGCGGGACGATTACAGGCCTAATGAAGATTGGCACACGTCATCTTATCGACCAAACCAGCTCCTGCTGAAGAGGTTAATCCTGATTCTGGTGGGGAAAACATATATATATATATATATATATATATATATATATATATATATATATATATATATATATATATATATATATATATATATTAAAAGAGTCAGAATACACACTTGGGTTTGTGAGTGAGGCTGTGGTCCAGCAAAGCAGTCCGAATGTTCATTCTGGACATGAGATTATGCTTGGGTCACCGAGGGCAGATCATCTCTGATCTCTGTCTTGTCCCACTGTCGGCTCTGACAGCAGCGTTCTGTGTAACAGATGGCTAATTAGCATTTCTGCAACTGCAATCACCAAAGCTAATTTCCCTTTGGTAACTGTAGCTTAAATAAAGAACCGACTCTATTGACCTTGTCGTGTCCGTTGGCACCTGCGTGCCGAAACTCGGAAACTTGGTGCCGAAGGCCTCGACAGAAACCTTGAGCGCATTCAGTCACTTAGGATGTGGATTACAATGAGGCTCATTCAGCGTCGTGTTACAGAGCAAGCAGTTCAAACCCAACATGTTATGATGATTCACTCTCGCCACACGAAACGTTCCCTCAATGGCCTGTTAATTTCAAGTAAAATAAATCGTTAAACGGAAAGTACATTGTATCCCATTCAAACGATGACTAAGGCACGACTGCAGCAAGAGGCTCAGTTTATTACGTGCGATAAATTGTGTAATAAATTCCAAAGCGAAAGCCAATTAATGTTGTTGTTTCTTTTCCTGTCGGTGCACCTCACATCACGGTCTCGTGAAGTTTTGATAATTATTATTTCGATGCGGTCAAATACGCGTCAGTGTTACACAGTTGCATCAGATGAAAACTTGACCCTTGCGTCGCTCGGGTCGTCTGTAGAGCCGGTTACTTCAGAAACAGAGTGCATCCAACCAGAAAAGCAGCAGGTTCGTTAAGGTTTTATGGGATTCATGCAGTAACTTCGAGAGCAGCGGCGTAACGACTGCAGGGCCCTCAATGCTGCAATCGAATCAGAAGCAACACAGTTTCCACTTTTCCACCTTGTAAAACAAGCATCCAAGTAGTAACCCTGAGCTGCTAATGATGCAAGCAGTAACTCGGACTCCTAATAGAGGCTTTTATTTTCTTCTCATGCTTTGATTCGGAAAACAAACTCACGGTGCCTTTTGACAAATAAATACTTAAATGAAATGCATTTGGAGTTTACAGCTTTTTCTTGTTGACGTATTAGACTGGCAGCTCATGAGTCGCATTTATTATGTTAATTGGTCTCCATAAACTGCCTTTTCGTACGTGTGTGCGTGCGTGTGTGTGTGTGTGTGTGTGTGTGGGTGTGTGTGTGTGTGTGTGTGTGTGTGTGCGCGCGCGCACTGCTTGTTCTGTGATGAACTGTGTACCCCACCTCTCACCTCTGGAGGTCGGCACCATTGCTGCAACCCTGCAAGGTCAAACGAGTGCAGGTGAAGAGGAAATAGGTGTTGTCTGAGAACAGGATCTTGAAGACCCAGTAAACTGGCACAGTATGCAGGGATTTAAAAGCGATCCACGGCGATTTGTGTTTGTCTGTAGTTCGTGAACTGCTACTGAAAAACAATCCCAACCGATTGATTATGATTTTAGAAACGAGCGCTTACCTTTCCACCTGTGTTTCCTCTAAAGGTCACCGGAGCTTCTTTTGCACGAGAGCTGTGATTAGAGGATGCTTTCCGTTAGGCAACAAAAACTCTATCGACTTTGAATAAGCTGAGCGGAGTTTAAACCGATACATTGAGCAACATGAGATTGAAACCATTGTTAAGAGGACAGGTTTGTGGATGAGCTCCAGAGTACCACTTCGAAACTATGTTGAATAATCTTTGGCAGATTCTTCCACAGGCTAACGCAGGAGCCTATAGAAACCCAGAACAACAGGAGATCCAACTATTACAGATCTGCTTGTGCATTTCTTCTCCTCTGGGTAGAAACAGTGTTTATTTATTTTGAACCTCACCCTGTCACCATTTTTCAGCCTAAGACAAATCTAATAACCTGTACACATTCGGTGTATTGTTCAGGTTTCTCATAAAAACATTTCTCAGTGGGACGAACGTTAATGGCTGTTATTTATACTCGGGCCTGGGTGGCTTTACTCCACACACCCATAGAAATCATTACACTTCCCCTTGGGGGACGAACGGAGCGATGCGCGTTTTACCCTTGCTGAGATGACTCAGCGGTAATACGGCTCTCCTTTATCGGCTTCGCCTTCGGTGTTACTGGTTACACTCTGCTGAGGTCATTAAAAATCAACTAAAGAGAGACACGGAGGACACGAACAGGGGTTTCTGAACAGCAATGAGGAGGGAGCAGCTTTTAATTATTGGACTCACTCACAATCGCATATCAAGGCCGTGATGGAAACGCTGGGGGGATGTTAAACTTTTTTAGCCGTTGAGGCCGACGCGTAAGAAAAATCCAGGTTTTCGCAAAGAAACTGAGAGATTTTGTTTTATTACCGTTATTATGCAGAGAAATAGATGTGGAGGCAATACTCTGGTGCTTTTATATTGGTAATCTGGACACAAAAACAACATTATTATTATTATTTTTTATTTTTAGACAATAATAACAAACTGTCAGCAGAAGTGGAAGCCTGAGCAGGTTTATTGACTAATGGGGATTTTGCAATAAACCAACATGAAGTTGTGTGTAACAGAAAAGCCAAAGAGAAATGAGATGTAGCCTATTCTTTTTTTTTCAAAATAAATGACAGCGTGCAACTTGCATTCAGCCCCTCGGAGTCGATCCTACCCTGGAGCTTCTGGTACGCATGGATCTTGTTGAGATATTCCTCTCCCAACTGTGCAGCGAGGTTGGAGTGTTTATGGTGATTGGTTTTCCTCCACACGTACTGCTTTGAAAGCAGACCAACGATTCAATTTCGATTTGACTTCTTACACGTTTATTGGGCTCCTCTTCATGGTTTGTGGCAAAATGTCAATGGGACTCACCATTTTGAGCGGGCAAAGGCTCAAAATGTTTTGTTTTGGTTTTCGCATGTTGGATTGGTGAGATGTCCAAAAGCTTGGGATGTTTTATTATGCAATGTGGTGTGAGAAATCAGGGTTAAAAAAAATAACGCTGAGTTCAAATGGTTTTAATTCACAATCCAAAAAAGAGAAAAGGTTGAAGACAATACTATTTACATTACCTGATGACTTCAAAACTGATTGATGCCAAGTTTGAGTGGAGCTGATGGTCAGACAGGAAGATCAATATGCACTGTGGAGGAACCAGGACGGATCCCTGATGGTCTATTCAAAGCAAAGAGAATCAAATTCAAGGGTAACCGCAGATTAATGCAGTGAAAGCAGCACGCATAAGAATTAAGAACTAATATACCCTGCTGTATATTGAAAAACCTAACATAGAAAAAATATCCATAACATTAGATGTGTTGTATTTAACGATGCAATCTTTTTTTATTCCCTGTCTGATATAGTCAGTCTAAATTATTACAAATTACCAAAAATAACCAAGTTGAATCCATTTGTAAATAGTAAAGCCTGAATGAATTGTTTTAGGCTCCTGGGAGAAACAGTGGAACTGCATTAGGCATGTAATTACTAACATCAGGAAACTCCAACATCTCGGTTTTGTTCTCTTCAAGCCAGTTAGTCACTAATGTTCTGGCATGCTTCTGTTCAGTGTCTTTTACTTCTCATGCAAAGTGCACCAGTCTGAAAGTCGCCGACAGCCCACATGTAGCCAGCTTTGATAGTTAATGTCAGTTATGTTGCAACATAGATTTTTATTTATTTTTTTTAATCAAACCACAGAGAATGCCTCCAAATAATTAAGTAGTTGAAATTTGTTTGCATTTGAAAAACAGAGATCTGGTTTTTGGAGCAATGCGCTTCTTCCTCACTGGATAATGTCGCTCTCTTACCTTTCTGGTGGGATGAATAGATATATTTTTCTCAAAAGAATTTAGTATTTCTCAAGGGCATAGAGGCCAGCATGGCCTTTATGCTCTTAGATAACAGTTTGACGAACATGACGTCTCTGGGCTTCTGGTCATCGAACCCAAAGATCGACCAGATTCCTCTGACTGATCATTTGATCCCTGGCATGTTGGGTGTGTTTATTAATCTCTATGATGCTGTTTGAGTAAACTGAATAAATACATGCCACACTTTTCAGGTTTTTATTTAGAAAAATAAACAGTCTTCCTGCTCTTTCGCCGTCACATAAAATCCCTAAAAACGTCAGAAAAAAATAAATAAATTAGGCGAATTTTGTGAAGGAACATCATCACTTCAAAAAGTAAACATATCAGACCAGATAAAAGAATGGCTGATGAAGAAGGATGTGGGCGTTTACAGGTTGATTTAATATAATGAGCAGCATATTCAGGTTCTCTCACATCTCTGCTCTCCTCTCACATCAACACAGACACTGGTGGTTCACGATAAATAAGGGGAAGCCGCAGCTGAGCGATCTTTCTCCATGACAGAACTGACCTGGATTTACTATTTAAACCAACAACATCATAAGTAGGTGTCGGTGCAGTGAGACACCGAGTCATTGACGTTCATGCTCCTGGTCGGCCACCTGTCACTGCTCCTGGTCGGCCACCTGTCACTGCCGGCAGCTGAACGGCGGCCAACCGCGCTCACATCTGTTTGCACCCATGGAGACTCCGCGGCACAGCGAAATCAAGGACATGATACGTGGGGTGATGTTTGCGGCTACGTCACTCGTTTGTGCCGTTTTATTGAAATAGACAAACAAAAGTGGACTTTTGTTACGCAACATGCCAAAAGGAAAACAAAACTCGCATCTCGGGAGGCCACCAATGACATTTTATCGATACGCGTGATTATTTAACGTTCATGAAATGACGACGTTCACACAGTTACACAATTATGTACAATTCATCCTTTTAAGAAAAAAAAGAACAACAGTAAAACATAAATTGTTATGCAATAAATAAATAATAAACATATTTTCTGTACATTTTACTAAATACCACATTAAATACTGCCACTGCTTCACTGCCCTTGCAGCAAACATAAGACAAAACAGAAAAACTGAATAATTTTCTGTCTTCTAGTGTAGGTAAAAACAACGAGACACGGCTAAAGCATTGGCACAGATCTGTTTTAAGAAAGCAAAATGCTCTGGAGAAACTGCATGTAAATGCACAACATGAATATTCAAGTGCAATCGCTCAGAAGTAAGCAAAACAGCGTCAGGAAGGCAACTTTGAATTGTTCTGGGAACTTCAAAAATATTCTCAGGATGGTTTACAACCTGTAAGGCTTGACACGTTTTCTCTTTGTCATAAAATATAACAGAATAAACAAAAGCCTTCTATGCATGCAGGGTTGGGTGAGTTAGCAGAATTGTGGTTTTAACTAAATTCTCGCCAGAAATGCCCAAAACACAAATTATTTTTACATTTAAGGCAAAGTGAAGGTAGCCTCACGTATTTACAAACCAAAGGTCTTTGTTAAATAAATGCAGAAATTGTTTAAAGAATATATGGCAATTAAAAAACCCCCAAAACATTTCAATCACACTGCCATCTTAAAGACTTAGTTTGGATTTTAAAAATGAAGTTAATATCATAGAGATAACCGGAGATGGTTTCTGTTGCTGATGTGTCATGTCAGTAAGTGTTTTTTTTTTAGAAAACAAAAGAAATCCTCAGAGTTTAAAGGCCAACAGGGCTAAGCTATTCAAAGCAAGTCAAACTGAAAGTGTTCACATTCGTTGATAAATGGGTGATATAAACAAAAACTGTGTAAAATAATTATTTTTAAAAAATCTAAAAAATATATATGGCAGTTTAAGTGAACCCTATTTTATCATTTTTTTAACTGCCTTACTTTTCTATTCTGTACTCAGTACAGCACACGTTTCACACAGGAAGATCATTGGTGGTGCACCACCTTCCTCTTTCATTTCCTGTGTAAATAATCATCGACTACCGTTTAAATATCCACTCGATGCAAACCTAACAAAGGCATATGTAGTGTTTTCCTAAACCACTATGACATTTCTGGGACTGAAGGACAGAAAATGTCTGCTATAAGCAGGCCTCCCCTAGCTAGCCAGCTGGCTGTGAGCTTCAGCCTTTGAGAAATATTAATCTCAGTGTTAACATCAGTTATCTGCAGCTGAAATATGAACAACTCACAATCTGCTAGCATCACCTCGCTTCAAAAACCACCAAACTATTCATAAAGTAGGATTTGTGGTACTTGAAATGATTGCTTCTACTATTTTGTGTTGATCCCTGATTTAACAAGCACAGCAACACAAGTGCAACATTTCTCCTGCAGCCATGTCAGACGTTACTTTTTCTTTAAACTGAGAGACAACAGAGATGCACGGACAACAGGTTTGCTAAGCTGCTCTGTAATTTACTGGAGTTGCAAGAGGAAGTAGGTCTTGCAGACATGCAGTTGACATTTTTATTGGTACAGGGTGGAGCCTAAGCTAAAAGATCTTTTTCCAGAACATTAAATATAGTGCGCAAGAGATGAGATGCATGGGAGAGGAGAACGGCAGTGAGAGGCGTTTGAGGCAAAATGTAAGATGGAATTGGTTCTGGGTGGCGTGTCGACCTCCTGAGTCTGACATGGTTCATCGTTCACAGGAACACGATCTTTTCCTCCCTCCCCTCCTCCTGATCGCTGTCCGTCTCCAAGGAGACCAGCGTGCTCAGCTCCAGATGATGCTCACTGGGATGTGGGAGCTCCGCATCGGGGTCAGCTGTCGACATCCAGGTGTCACCATTGTAGCTGGGCTCTGAGTGAGCACAAAAGAAAAAAAAGAAGAAGAAAAAGACAGCTCAATATACACACAGTAACACCTAAAACTAGATAGAGAGACATTAAATAAGCCTATTGAAAAGAGAACAAAAGCCTTTTGAGAAGGTTCAAAAGTTTACAGTGATTGGTAGAAGATGGGTCAACCTTACACAAGCTTTTCACAACAGTTAACTGGAATTTTGTTTCCTGGAATTGCTCTAACCGAGTCAGATTTGTTGCTTTCAAACATCTTTTCAGTTTTGCCTGAAGATTTTCTCATCAATCAACCACTTTGAAACTAATTTGGTGACAAAGATCCAGTTGTACCTGAGCTTTACCTTCTTAAAAGTTCTACCCCTACAGAGGATAGAAATAAATGATTTAAACACATTTTGTGAAATGCACCGGTCCCTCCTGGATCAAAACGTCCCCACAACATGATGCTATCGCATCCATCCTTCACAAAGTGTCATCTGGATTTTTTTTTTTTTTTTTTTTTTTTTTTTTTTAGAGGAATGACATCTTTCCTTTAAGAAATGTTTGATTTATTGGGAATAAAGCAAGTCAGTCATTCCAGTATGCAGAGTTTCTGAATATCTGCGTTCACATTTCAGAGTTGGGTTGACACATAAAAAGCTCTTTGAAAACTATTGAACTGAATTGACTATTTTATTCTTAAGATTATTGAAACCCTTATTACTGCTAATGCTTGAAAGGGTTAGGATCTTAATTCAACAAGTGCTAATAAATTATTTAACAATCTCACACTAATTAGATAACCAATGTTTTTCTAATCGCAGTGTTTTTTTTTTGTTTTTTTAAGATCAAAGTACGAGGTTCATGTAATAACAGATTCTGAAGCCAGTGCCCTTCATCTCAGCACTATTTAATTCATTATCTGTTTATGATCATCTAAGACTTAGGACTTGACTTTAAGGAGCGCTGCCGGCTCACTCTTGAAGATAATACAGGGTCTGAGATACTAAAAAGAATAAATAATATGTAATTATTCTAACAAGCAGAATCCTAAAAAGGCAGTAATATGTGGGTTGCATGTAGCTGTGCATTTATGGTAGAGCTGCATCTTTATGTTTGTCTTAATGGTCGGGCTGTCTAATATTAGGGCAGGTGTGCTGTCATGGTAACAGATGGCATGAACTATAAATTGCCTCATTGTGTCCCTGCAGGAAAGTGTCTCTGTTTGATTAATCATACAAGCGTCTGTTGGAGTCGCCCTCTCAGCCGCCACGTGGGTGCTGATGGATGAGATATCAACGTGGACTCAGATGATAAAAACACTCAATCTCTGTCATGGAAATATCCAGTATTAGTAATATTCATATACAGCTAGAGGCTTGCTGGAGAGAAACCCATCCCCTCCAAAAAAACACCCTAAAGACGTAGAAAATGTCTTTCCTACTTGGCAAATCGCTTGTCAGTCACATCAACCACATGTTTATGATATTGCTGTTTGTGGCTTAGTGTGGGGAAAAAAAAATGTAATTTTTTATTTTATTTTTATCCCACAGGGAAATTAAACGTTTTAGCTTGTATTGTCGAAGCAAGATGGTGATATCTTGTTTGGAGTCAGGCTCTGTATGATAGCGTCATGACAGTCATGAAAGCTTCATTTCCAGGCAGCAGAGATGATATTTCACAGCAACGTGTCCTGGATGGCACCATCAGTTGTTAGCAAACACTGCTAACCTGCTTTTACCGTTTCTCAATAAATAAAAATCTGGGTGTAACTGAGCTGTAACCAAAGTCCTACTTTGTTTACAAATTCAAATCTGAAATTTATTGTGCGCTTATGTATAATTTTTCAGTTTGAAATTTTTTTCTGTCTTTTTATTTTTTTACTTCCATGGCAACAACAGGACTTTCTTTATTTCCCTGTCAGCACCAGAGAATGAAAATAAAGTAGCGGTCTCACATTTGTCACATTTTTACTTTAATTTTTCCTTTCTGTTCGCTTTTATTCCCCCTCACTGAAGGACGTATGACTCACTTATGAAGCAGCAGCACAGAGAGACAGAACTGTGTCGCTTCAAGCCCACGTGCAGAAGGAACAATAAAATTAAAAATTTGGACTTTACATAAAACAGATGCTCTCATAAGCTCTTCTGCTAAGAACCTTCCAAAAACAGATGAAGATATGAATATTCATAATTAGTTTAGGAAGGACAGGTAAAAATGACAGGCTTCAAAAAAAAAATAAACTCCCTTACAACAGGCCTCTGTTGTCCCAACATATTTGGACATATGGATATTTATTTAACTACTTTATGTGAGAAATAAAACTAATAACATTTGGAAAAAAAAACGTCAATGGCCCCATTTATCGCGTATGTTCAGGACAACGGGAAAAACAAAACCTACTTCACAAATTTTTGTGACAGACCCGAGCCTCGAATAGGGGCGTACGTTTTTATGACCCGCAGAAACTCGGCTGGACCCATAAACGATGCAATCGCTCAAAACACACACACTTAACTGGATACACACAGGCTGAAAAAGGAACGAACTGATATGTCCTCGGTTTGTTCGATCAGACGGCATTTTTCTGCTGCAGTGCTTTTCATTTGTTTTTTGTTTTGTGCCAGAGGGACTTCAGGGAAAACACAGGATTGTATAATTTTATTACCCAATCTTGTGCAGAGCAATGTTGAGAAATTGAATCTTAAATCTAAATGGCTTGCGGTGAAGTACCCCATCTCGTCTAGCCAAAAGCAGAATGCTGGTGCTGTCAAAATACCGTAAAAGCGATAGGATGACTTCATTATATAGTGTCTTACAAATGCCCTTTGACCTTGTGGATATAATGTAGTGTTAAAACAACCACAAGAAAAAGCAATGCATGATAGTAAAGTGAAAATTTAAAGTTTTACTCGTTTTTTTTCCCTATGAGGTTCCAATTCACCCACGTTCCACCGTAAAGGTGAACTGGGGTTATCTTTTTCCGCTCGTATTACTCACATCTCCGATCCTTTTCAGAAACTCGTGAAAAGGATCGCAACTCGTCAGCATCGTGTCGGTAAATTCCACCCAACTGCTTAGAAGAGATTACATTGTCCTGGATCAAATTATGGAAATCTACTCCGTGAAAACGTGAGTCTCAGAGAGAAGCAGATATGTGCTAAGGAGACGAGGGGATGTGTGATCTTGTCTTGAACCACAGTGTGACGGCACAGTGGAGAATTTGCATTTGAAACAGGATCTATTTTTTCTTTTTCTCACTAAAAACAGAAAGTTCCTCTGCATGCCACGGAGGGAGCGTGAGGGTGAGGTTCGATCTACATCTAGTGACAAAGAAGCTCTTTAAATTTACATAAAGTAAGAGGATGGGTCTTTATAGGAGTGTTTAATCAAGCAGGAAATTAAGAAAAGGTCCATTATTATATTCTCCCTGTGTAAATCAGTTCATTCCAGGCCCTTGTGGGACTCACTGAGCAATCCATTACAGATAAAAATGATTGGAAACAACCCTTATGCTGCAAACCGCGGCCGTTATTTCCCTCAGCTTGTTAACAAGTAACTCAGGTTTCGTCGGGCTCCTGTGTGCGCTCGATAACGGGGAAGGGGTTAATAAGCTAATCAATGAACGAGAGACGGTAAACAATTGCAGGAACCCGGGCGGGGTGGCGCTGGTAGCTCCCACCCTGGTTTCTGCAAAGACGGACACTCGCGCCGAATATAAACGGTTATTTTCCTCATCTGCGGTGAGAGATGAGGAACGTGAGAGTGTTGCTGACTGCTGACACCTCATGAGAGGAGAAACATAAATTCATTTGTGTGTGGATCTCTCATTCCTCCACCCTGTACATCACACCTTCACCTCGCTCCCCCTGTCCGTTCACCTGCTGTGATGACAAGTCAAGCGGTAATGAGTTTTGGAAAGATTTTCTTTTTTTTTCTCCAAGATCAATGTCCTAATCAGTCACTCGTCGCTTGTGAACTGTGATTCACGTACTGTTGTGTCCCCTGGCAGGCGATGGATAGAGAATCCATTGATTTTTTTTCTCTCCCTTTGGCAGGGCTGTGGGGTGGGGGTATGGGTGGGAGTTGTGGGTGGGAGGTGGTCAGGTGGAGGTGATGAGACAGTAATGTGAAGTGGGGGGGTTGAGAGGAATGGCAGACGAGGCCTCACCAGGAATACAGCCTTGAAAGCTCAGTGTGCTCTCGCAAGCGTGGGTGAAACCAGCGAAGCTCTGCTTTGTTTACATTCTCACAGGCAGAACATTTCTCCTTTCAGCTGACAGGTTGATAGCAGAACCCCTCACTGTGCCATTAGCACCAACACACCTAATCATGTTAGGTAAAAATGTAAGTGAAAACTGGAAAATGTAATCGGAGCCATTCACTTACAGCCCTGACCATAAAATGCCAAAAGCAAAGTATCAGGAAGCGCTACCATGCACTTAGCATGTTATTTAACATTTATTTAACGGACGTGTTGGTGGGTTTTGAAATGCAAAACCTGGAAAAACAAATGACACAAGGAATAAAGGAAGAAGGCATACAAGGATACAAGGGAGGAAAGATGGGAGATGGAAGGGAAGAGAAGAAAGTAAGAAATGCCACAAGGACAAACGAGAGACAAGGAAGGAAGGAAGAAAGGTAGGAGAGGTAAAAGGAAAGGCGGAAAGGAGAAAAAGAGATGGGGAGTGCTTGAGGAAGGATATGAGAAAGGACCAAAATATAAAGGACAAAAGAGAAAAAAACAAGAAAGGACTGACAGAAGGACACCAGAAAGAAGGGAACACAGAAGGACAGGACACAGTGGAGGACAGAAAGAAATAAAAATTAATGAAACATGGATTGTATCAATCTTTTGTCTTCCTTGAGACAGGGAGGAAGAAAATACAAAGCATAGAAGAAAGAGGGGCAAGAAGATAACACACAGACAGAGAGACATGACATGACATCTGGAAATACAAACATTTCTTCAAATTTCCTTTGAAGGAAAATACTGATCAAATTCTACAATTTCCCTCATTTTTTAAGACCACATAGAAACTATGTTTGGTCAAGATTTTGTCGGACGCAACATAATGTGCTTTATAGTTACAAAATAAATATATACAGGACAGCATCAGCTGTGCATTTCATAATGATACTATAGCAAGGATTCAACTCATATAACTAACACTGCAGTCTGCTTTATGAGCATAAAAAAGTAGACATTTGAAATATTTTAATATGGATTATTCAATTGAAAAATAATCAAAATTTTAAAAACAGCCATTCCTTCATTTAATTAAATGGTTTACATGTTACATGGTTGATGATGGGACTCAACTGACTCTTTAATTCAAACCGACGTTACAAAAGAAGGCAACACCAATTATCTGGTCAATGCCAATACATTTATTGCTAATTTAATGTCAATGCCCATTTAAAGAAATTAAACAATAAACCAGACGTCTATGCATAAGGTTTTAGGTATTTCTTACCACTGGTTGGGTGCTTGAGACTTCCCAGGGGATTAGTGTAGATGTATCCAGTGCCGTGTGGGCTCGTGACACCAGGATACTCTCTGTTGTTAGATCTGTCCAACAGGCTGTTGAAACAATTGTGTGCTCTCGGGTCGTTCCGTTTGTGGTGGAAGTGGCGATTATTGACGCTGCCGCCGGCAAACGCCGCCTCGTTCACAAACACAGAGCCGTTACCGGAGTGCTGTCTGGAGTTATTTGGCGGCGAGGCCTGTCAGGCAGAGAAGAAGGTTTCGGGGTGAAAGCAGCGTAAATTCAAAGGACATTTTAAGACGTTTCAACTGTGTCCCCAGCTGTAAAATTTTCTAGCAGCATGAGATGTTACATTGAACAACAAATAAATAAATTATAGTTATTGTCTATGTAAATATATTTCACGGCAAAAATATACAATGAGAGGGTTCTGAAGACTTTTCCTTTAGATGCAGGAGATCAAAGAGCATTTTGGAGGTGAACTTGTCAGTATTTTCAGACGTCGACTGAGAAAAAGATCCACATTTGGACGGAACCACCATGATACCTCAAGTCAGCTGTAGTTATTATGCCAGGCCACAAGATGGTGCTGTGATTTTAGAATGTCATGGAACCTGCATGTGTTTTTCACCTTTTGCTTCCACCTAATAGTAAATAACTAATCCGTCTCCCAACGAAGTGCTCATGCTGTAGTTATTAGCATAATTCTTGATATTCCTCATCAAGAATTATGCTAAGCTAAACTGGTTAAGCAGCACTATACAGCACAATGCTTTGTTGTTTTTGTTGTCATCTGCTTGTGCATGTGTAGAATTAACCCTACAGCTGTACGTTCTAGTTTTCATGGTGTATGAAAATACACCATGAAAGTTGTTGGGACTTTATTTGCTGATGTTTTGAAATCGGTCTCTCAAAATCAAGCTCGGTTGTTTCCAGTGCAGACTTTTAAAACACAACGTCTTACAGTGTATTAAATTTTATGAACTGACTGATAATTAAATTTTTTTTAGGATGAAAGATGCCCCTCTGGACCCGTCCAGGGTGTGGCGATCACGTCAACAGGGCTTTTCCACTGTTGAGTGGAGGCAGCACAGCTAATTAGATACGACTTGAGAGCTGATATGTGTGTGTGTGTGTGTGTGTCATTCGATCCGTCTCTGACCCTATGAACTACTGCCTTAGGCTAAAACATTACCTGGGACACATTAGGACTTCCACTGCCTCCGCTCGCCTTTGTGAGAGCACCGCTTTGTTACTGCGGCCTCAGTGGCGACTAAAATAGATGAATGGAAATACATACTGTAAGTCTGCTCAAAGCAAGGAGAGCCTTATCAAATCTAGCTTACAAAGGGGAAAAAAAGACCCACAGTGGCGTGTGTAAATTAATGAGGGAGAGGGGGAATATTGTAACCCGAGTGTGCTCATTTGTCTACTCATTGTGGTGCAGACCCACCTGCCAGCAGAGCTCCACATACACAGAAAAACCACTTATTATAGGGGTGAAAAGATTGATTGGATTAATCATGGTAATTATGAAATAACTAATCTACTAATTTAGTAATCGATTAACTGTTAATTGAGTATAGGCTCAAAAAATGGACAGTTGCTAAAAGGTAGTGCATGGGACCGTCTTACTGTGAGGTGAATGAATGGGGTCAAACACAGGGCTATCCTGAAATAAGTTGATCGAAGCTACAAACAATTGAAGTTTGGACAGAGATTTAGCTTCAAGTAGGATGAAAGCTCCTGTCAGACCTGCAATGGAATGGTTTATGTCAAAGCAAACCCATCTGTTAGGATGCCAAGATCAAGCCTGGAGCTGAATTCAATAAGGAAGCGGCGACAAAACTCAAAAACTGATGTTCACCCCTGGTCTCCATCCAATGTGACCACCTTTGAGTGAATAGCCTTCGCAAGACATTGCATGTGGTACATGTGGCACGTTAGTTTCATCACTCAAGCCGAGGTCTGTAGCGGTCCAAGAGAGCAGTGATCCTTTATCTTCTACGCCTTTCGGCTTCAGGGCAAATTTCAGCGAGGTGCTTTTCAAACAGAGTGTCAATAATTCAAGCCCTTTAGGACACAATTGATCGGTTCCTTGGGCCGCGTGCCTCGGGTTTTAATTATTTTTGTTGAAGCTTTTATTTGCAGCGATTTAATTATCATTAATCATTGAGATGTTCATTGGTGAGCCGAGCCGCTGAAGCATGAAGACGAATGGCGCTGGAATTGCTCTCGTTATCGCAGCTTGTACATCAAGGCTGGGCTGAGCTGCTGTGTAGGAAACGAGTGAACCGGTGTAAGCTGATCGCTCTTTGAAGAAGAAGAATCTCATTAGTGAGGCCACTGAAAGGAATACTGGACAAACCGTGCTTCACGACACCACTAGGGCAGGGCGACGTGGCCTAAAGTCAATATCGTGATATATTGAGCAGTTCACCTCTAACGATAAGATGAACTTATCGTTAGAAGTAAGGACTGATTTTTCGCAATTATATGTAAGTTACTAAAAAAAATAAAACCCACAACTGAACAAGTTTAGAAGTAAAAATAAGTCTTACTGTCCAACATCCTTACTCTTTCCAGCATATTGCCAAATTATTGCTAATTTATGCTCCTCTTCCTCCACGACCACATCTACTGCCGGCGCATCAAAATTTAAAATTTCCTAAATTTTCTTAACCTCACTGTCTCTTTCACTTCTTGTTACAGACGGGAGCGGACGTGGAGTCACATGACTGGAAGCTGTCCACATAGCACAGCGTCTTAAAGGGTCAGTACTATATATTTTCCAGACATAAAGTGTCATTTTATAACAAAATAATGTAACTGTGTTACTTTCAGTTTTTATAAAAAATGCTGCATATGTCAAATGTGACTTATAACCATAAATTATTGTCTTTAAATTGTGTTTTAAGGAACTATGGCTCTTTCTGAAAGTCCACTTCCAGGAAGTCATCACAACAGCCTCCTTGCGCTTTTCTAGCGTTGCACCAGGAAGTAGCTTGAATAATGAGCTCAACAGTTATGCAGTTCCACCAGGTGTTTGCTAATTGCTACTGGCTAGTCTGAAGGAGCTGAGTAGGGGAGGGCTGCTCCGTGAGGCGGAGGCTCGGAAGCTTGGAAACTGCAGTTTTGAGGAGAAACTAGATCTCCCCAAGTGTTTTGCATAGCAACTTTTGTGTTCACTTTTTTTTGTAACTCTGAAAATACAGGCAAAATGATGTCAGCTGTAATGAATTTTGGTTTTGGTTCATTTTAGTTTTTTCTCCTCAAAGGGTCGAGCATTTCTTCCAGAGGAAAACCCGGTGGGAGGTTGGACTTCTTACCTGCTGCACATCCAGAGGGATGACCATGTGGGGTATCACGGTGGGCAGGCTGCTCTGCCGCCCGTGCTTCCAGGCCTGCAGCAGCTTCTGTTGGTCCTCCAGACGCTCGCGCTCCCTCTCCACACTCCTCTGCCCCTCACGGAGCCTCTCCAGGCTCAGCTGGTACTCCTCCAGTTGCTCCGCCAGCTCCTCTCTCTCTTGCCTCAGCTTCTGCGCAGCCTGCAGGCACTTCTTCTCCCTCTCCTCCAGCCGGCTCTCCTGCTCCACCTGCTGGCTCTCCTTGGCCTGGCACTCTCGCTCCCAGCGCTCCCTCTCCTGGCGCAGTTGCTCCCGGAGCCGCTGGGCCGCCGCCACCTCCTCCTTGCGCTTCTCCAGGTTACGCTGCTTCTCCTGCTCCTGCAGCGAGTTGCCGCGGAGCCCTGGGAGGTGCAGGCAGGCACCGCGGGGCGAGGCCAGCTCGCTCACTTGCAGGAGGAGTTTCTGGACCTCGTAGAAAGTGTCCTGAATGGTTACGGCAGCCTGGCGCAAACAGGAAATAATGGTTAACCTCACCATGAACATTTATTCACACACTTTGAGGTGTAAGTAGTCTGGCCACGATAGCAAATTTTGCCGGACGATAAATTGTCTCAGAGTTATCGCGATAAACAATAACAAGAACAAAGGTCTCTTTATGTGGGTTGTGCTGAACCCATGCATCACCACAGCATCATGTTTGTATATTTTCAGTTCACATAATAGCTAAGGCGTAACGACTCTAGAATCAATTAACATTAAATTCTATTGAACATTTAACACTTCAGCAGGAAGACATTTTGAATATCGCAAAAACAAAATAAAAAGAACAAAATAAAGTGAATTACAAAATCTCTCTAAACAAAACTGTTCTTCACGAAAAGTGGCTAGTTGAGACAAAAGCTTTTGTCATGCAGTTTTTGGCAGAGAGGGAGAGAGAAAAGAAAGAACGATACATAATTACTGAACTTGTTTTAATTTATCATGCAGTTAATTGATTTATTGCTTACTGCGACAAGCCTAGCAACAACAAAACAGAAAATGTTCATTTTGTTCTGCCACATGATGTACATTAAAAAAAGTTTTTTTAGGGCACTTTTTTCCCCCCCATCAGTATAAAAAGGGGAGGCACTCTAGCACCTCTTAGTGTCTACCTGTGCACTTGACTGCACATGTGTTTCCTTGTTGCAGGTGATTTGAATGGCAAATTATAATCAGGTTAAACTGGTGACCTAGTTTTTCCCCCCTTGCATCCACTTTACTGATAGAATCACTGGTTTTGGTTTCAGACACATGAGGGAAAACAAAACTTTGAATATGAAAATCACAATGTGATCAAAACCCCTAAATCCAAACAGGAAAGAGTACACACACACACACACACACACACACACACACACACACACACACACACACACACACAAAAACCAAATGCAAATACAAACAAACACACACACATCCTCTTTACATAAATTTACATTTTATAGCAAGAGAGGGAGTGTGTGCATAGCCAAACAAAAGACCCTCCTATGTTTCTGAGCAAAAAAAAAAAAAAAATCATTTGGGGGGAAGAGCTCCTGTTGCTTGCTTCCTTTGGCTTCAAACAGTCAAACACAGCGCTGTTACTCTGTTTGTCAAACTGTGGCTCCGGGTCTCTTCTGCAAACAAATATATCTGAGCGCCGGCTAAACATAGAAGGTGTAACTTGCAAATATGTATATTGTTTCACCAAGGTTTTCAGGGGGTTTTTTACAATTAAAAATCCTCTTTACATCTTAAAAGAATGAAAAGAGCATAAATTTGAAACTGAACTTTCAGCCTGAGCTTCAGTTATTTATTTATTTTTTTAATGAAAAAAAATAATAATAGTATTGATGAGTTATTATGGTGCAGTTAAAAGTTTAGACTTAAAACTGTGGCAAGACTACAAATAAAAACATGAGTATCTGTGTGCAAAACTAGTAGAAATCACAAAAACTGATTCCATTTCACAATCATACACTACTTCATATTGGTTTGCTCTTACCTGCAAACTGTAGAGTAACTGAGTCAAGGTTTGGACACTCTCAGCAGCCTGTTAGAGGAAAAAAAAATCAAATACCAATCCAGGTCAATATATCAATCATGTCTTTTAATGCAATATTGAACATCAGTGTCAAAATTATTCAAAATAACAAGCTGCATGGGGAGTTCAAAATGCATTTCAATCATGCAAAGAGTAGATTGATGCAGCAATTGCGCCCCCTCCAGGCAAAATGCATCAATGCAGCATCATTTAAGAGCCCCCATTACCTGCACGGAGCCGATAAGAAAACGATTCATTCTTATCGGTGTAATTTAGCTCACAGGTCGTAAAGGGTGCAGAGAGCAGCACAAACGCACTAACGGCTTTGGAACAAGCCTCCATATCTATTTTTAATACCGCAGGATCTTTAAGAGCTAAATGCACTTCTCTTTATTATGAGTCTATCAATAATTCACAGCATTAAGATTGAAATGTAATTCTAACAGACGGTGAGCAATTATTAAAGGAACCCATTGTAAATATGGTGGGGGGGGGGAAGCAACCTGGGAGAGGCTGTGTTACCTCTGCAGCCCCACTTTACCTGAACTGGAGCAGTAATGGGTGGATGCTTTTATTAACAATTTGCTGCATAAAACTAGAAAAACAACCAGTAAAAAAATTTATTTCTACCTCAAAGTCAACTGTACTCTCGTGTTTTTTCTGCGAGTCAGACATAGGCGGAAGGTCAAAACCGTTTCCCCCGATTTCCTCCAAAGTGTCGGATGAGGGATCGGACAGAGCGGCGGGGCTGATGGGAAACACCGAGTCCGAGTCCTGGCTGTGACTGGACAGAGAGCGGGCCTTGGACGACAGCGCGGCTTTGAGGTTCTCAGCTGGAGAGCAAATGAAAACAAAAAACAAAAAAAAAACACATGGCTGAAATAAAACAGAACGGCACTGAGCAAGAGCAGCACACAATGGAAAACAAAGTATAATATAAGCATGTTAATATTTTAAGAGACTAGATTTTGTTTTTATAACATTTTAGTAAGAAATATAGATCATCTCTGTTTCAAATCTACAACACTTTATCAAATCAGGACTTGACAGTCACTAATCACACAACCAAAGATTGGAACCAGCTAGTTTATCTTTAACTGACCCTAATTGGCGAGTCAAACATGTAAAAAATGTTTTTTATTTATTTTTTTGCTCATTGAACTCATCGACGGTCCGAACTCCCAGCACTTTTGGTCTGTTAACACATCAAGAAACAGCATGTACTCTGATGCACTATTTTAAATATAAATCTGATAAATATTAAGGAACATGCTTTAATACAGAAATAGAAATAATCTTACCATTCTTCAATTTCTAATACATTTAACACTACTACCTCTTTAACAATCCGGCAGCATTTATATGTATTTTTCTCTTTTATGTGTCAAAATGTGAATGCAAATCAAAAGTATACGAGGAAGAAACAGTAAAATTATTCCCCTCTTATTTTGAGTTTGTAGGATTATATAGTTAAATAAATTTTTTAATGAATGTACTTTCTTAATCTTTAAGAAAATGCAATACCATCTGAAAACTCACTCTGAAAACTAAATTAAATTATTAAAAATTTTCAATATTGTTCCAGTTTGACAATTAAATCAAATTCTCTACATTTTTGGATTAATCAATACCGCAAAGAAACCCTGTCTTTATGGATTTGTTGTGTGATATTTGTATGTATTATCTAAGTAAAACATGGAAAGAATTGCTATAGTGTTATGTCCCACCTTCTTGCAGAGCAGCAGACAGTAGCGCAGCGGCCTGCGGCAGCTCCTCTGACTGAGGCTGCACCAGCAGTCGCGGCTCCACCAGTGCGGCGTCCGTCCTCCCGCTCAGCGCGGACAGCTCTGTGTAGATCTGCAGCTTCTCCTCCAGATTGGAGCAGATCTGCTGGTCTTGACTCATCAAGCTCTCTGATACGCAGTTTCAGGCATTTCAAATATTAGAAAAAAAAATGTCTGCCTCCCAAAATACACAACACCTACTCTGAACGAATTTACCTTGCAACTTGAGGATCTTCTGGAAACGAGCCTCAGCAGTTCGCTTCTCCTCTTCTGATTCACTTGCGTATTCCTCCGGTTCCTCAGGGCAGCTGAGTCAAACAATAAAAAACAACTAAGAATATAAAAATAAACTTAAACATTTTGTCATGTTACAAGTATGAGTTCAAATATTTTTTCCTTCTGGATTTTATATGACAGACCAACACAAGGTAAAGTAGAAGCAATTTATCATGTTTTGCATATTTTTTCGGAACAAACCTTTTCCCCAACTTTCCATCCCTTTCTTTTTTTATCTAGTGTCTATTACATTTGAAATAAATTCAAAGACGAAAGTCTTAAAGCTTTGCTTGTGAAAGCTTTGACACTCTGACAACAATCGTGAGTGCCAAAATAGAAAAACATACAGTCTTGGAGTCACATGATGCTTTGAATGTAACAAAATATGAAGATATTAATACATCACAAGGCTCAAACCTACCTTTCTACCGCCTCTCTAATCAGCCTCATCCAGGTATTTCGCTCCTCTTTGGATGAAGTGTGGACCTCGTACATTTCTGGGCCTGCAGAAGAGGCGCTGATCAAAAACATCCCTTTCTCTTCGTTCGCCACTTCGCGAACTATTAACTTCTGCAGCGCGATGACAGGAGGCTTTTGGTCCTGTGGAAAAAATGTAGAAAATGCCTTAGAGTGCTACAGGCAAAGATGACAGTAACTCTGATGATATTTGTTTGCTACACTCACCACAGTAGCAAATGTGTATTTCTGGTCTTTCTCTTGAAGGAAGACGAGTACGTCTGTGAGGAGGAGCGCCAGGACGTCTAGAACAGTCAATATAAGCAGAAAGTAACGTCACAAGATCAGTTTCTATATAATAACTCATGGTTATCAGTAGGGAATCAGATATTCTCACCTTTAAGGCGACTAGTGGCGGTCTTCCACAGCAGCATGCCCTGGTGTCTGAGCGTTTGACCCATCATGTCCTGCTTGCGGAAGGTGTTGCCGCTCTTCAGCTTGGCCGCGCTGCGGTTCTCCATGCGGTTCCACACTTCCTGTAGTCTCTGGTGGCGCTCGTATTCGCTGACCCTCACGTCCACGGCCGTTATCGCGTCCCGAATGTGAGCCAGGGCTTTGGAAAGGTTGGCATGCTCCTCTGTTTGCTCTGGAAGATCAGAAAGGACGAAAACATAGAACAACTGAGTTCACTTATTTCAGTCCCTGCAGTGACTGTGATTTAACAGCAGAGGGTAGTTGCTGCCTAACCTTGAGTGTAATGTAGGATCCTCTCCAGTAGCACTGGGTATTTTGTGATTCTTTGAGTTACCAGCAAAATACATTCTGGGATCTCTCTCCGCCGCACCAAAGAGTTTTGACTTTGTTGCTTTAAAAATTCATAGATTTTATTACACAATGTTTAACTCCACTGAATTGTAACAATGCTAACTAAGATTTCGGACAAGAAATACCTTAATGAAGCTTTGAAATCTCTTATTATGCTGCATGAGATCCTTAAAAAAGGCTACTGCTTCGTTGTGATGGCTGCAGAATTCTCCGTACACCTGCTTCATTTTTTCTCCATTCTCTTCTGAAAACTACAGGCAGATTTTGTTATTGCACCAGACTCTACCATATTGGTCATTTGTAAGGTTATTACTAACCTGTCGGAGCAAGATGTCACCGATCTGCTGTATCAGGTAGTTCCTGTGACCCGGGGGCTGCCCGGAGCTCTGACGCCGCTCCTTCATGGCAGCGAAGAAGGTGTGGTGGAAGGCGAGCAGCTGGTCCAGGCAGGGAAACACCCGCTCCACTGACTCCGCGTCCAGCTGCACCTCTTCCTTCATGCCTCGCCGGAAAACCTCGGCCATGATGTGCAGAGTCTGAAGGTGGTGGAGCTCAGTCTGCATCAGCTCTGTATCGGGCCAAACGCTCGATCAGTACTAGCTACAAACTTCACTCCAAAGTCAAATATTGTTGAAAGAAAAAAAAGGCAGATGAAGGCGAAAGCTTTTCTTTTTTCCTTTTTTCTTCTGCTTTATATTGGTCTTTCATAACCCATGGTGTCAAGAGGAAAAGAAATGCTGCACAAAAATGTTACTCAATTGACCGTTTTTGAAAGTTGTGATTGCCGCACGAGAAAACAAACCATCCCTTTAACGTTTGCTCACCGTAGATAACATCCTGCCTCTTGACAGCCCGCTTGTCTTGCCTCTTGCAAAACTTGTGCTCCACCGTCAAACTCCACGACTCGGCCTCGTAATCAGCACAATCCGCTAATATGTTGCCGTGAGTCTGAATGTACGAGTCCACGCAGTCTGAGGCGAGAGAAAGGTACAAAATTACTTCTGATCGCTTTCTTAAAATAAACAGTCTTCCCTATGCTTTTAAAATGGACGTCCACTTTGATATATTTTGTTCTCAGCCTTTGCTTGCATTTTGAGCAAGAGCATGCAAAGACACTCAGTTAAAAAGATTAATTTCTTTTCTCATCCTTATCAGTGACATCCACAATTAGCTGGCTGTGCAGAGAAAAATTAGAGGCTGAATTTGGAAGATCCCAAGCCTAATTAAAAAGGAATTGTCCTCAACTCGGTTCAGAAGAAATGTTGAACTGAACCAAAAGATTATCCAGTCAGATGTAAAGGGTGAGACGGTCAAGAATGTTGATTCTCAACACATTTTTGAAGATAAAGTACTATGATGTCAATTTCATGTTCATTTAAATTGACTTAAGCTTAAATTTCACTAAGAAGTCAAACATAGGACATTCAAAAGTACAGGAATAACTGGAGAAGTTACAGAAAAATAATTATTGAGAATTGGACTGAAATTTAATTTCCCCTTTACTTTCAAACCATTTGAAGTAAAAATTATGACTGTGGAAATTGCATTTTCTAATTTTCCCCCCAAACATCTATTAATGAACATCTTTCTTGAGATAATGTACTTTTCTTTAGTCATTTACCACATTGAGGGAATGAATGCCAGATTATGTGGGTTAAAAGTAATGCATTTCTTTTAGAGATGTACAGAGGAATTGGTTGCGACCAGAAAAAGCTGACTTTTAGGTTGAACGGACCCTCAAAAATCTGATATCATTTTGGTCAGAGTAGGCAACAAACCCAAGCGTTAACAGATTATGTTAACAACAGCCAGTTGTTTTAGCAACAAGACTAAAAGTTAGCTGCTGTATTTTCAGTGTCAGGAGGTGTTTCAAAATGAAATCGACGACAAAGCACAAACACTGTAAGAAACAGATTGAAATACAATTTATCTTGCACACAGACACCCTGCTGCTCTTTGATTCAGTGTCAGTCGCCTTTTTGAGATTTTAGTTGGGGAATTAGTCTACATTCTACAAAATATTCTTTTTTGCTATTACAATAACCTAATAGCTAAATGAAGATATTAAAGGTAGATCTAAATTTCATCTCAACAGAATTATTTTCACTAATAGAGTGGTATTACCTCTGCTTATGAAAAATACAAACATTATTTGCAAATGATAGAAAATGTAGATCAAAATATTTTGATGGATATTATTTTTGTTTTGCTTTGTGGATATTTTCAACACGAAACCTCTCATACCGTCTCCGAAGGATGATTCATTAGAGGCAGAGGAGCCCAGAGTTGGCAGGAGATCCTCCGAATGGCTTTTCGGCCTCAGGGCTTCAGATTCTATCTCTGAACTCTCGCTGAGCATACTGTGCCACAAAGCAGAACACGGGAGCGTGTCATTACTATTATCATCCCATTAATCTATGTAATAAACTCAGATTGCTCAATGACCTGTCACTGTTGGGTAAGCTTCCAGGCAAAGAGTATGACTGTGTCCCAGTGTCCTTCCTCTCCCTTGGGGTGAGGACGGGTTGAGAAGCAGAAATGGGGATCACAGAATGAGAAGGACTGTCTCTCACTGTGAAGTCTGAGGGGACAACAGACAAAGATTAATCAATTGTTATATTTGAAAAAAAAAGACAAAAAAAGCAAAAGGCAAACGTTTGTCTGCATTGTTTTGTTAAAATCTTACTCTGTGGAAGAGACGCTGTCTTGCTTTTCTCCACAGTCATCGCACATCTGTCTTGTAGTTTCTAAGTAACATACAAGAAAATCTGACTACAACTCTATTCAGATCATTTTATTTTTTAAGTAGAGAACCAAATAAAAAGCGGACAACCTTCAAGCACGGTGGAACAGACTCCTTACAGCTCTTATGGACAATAGCAGTGCAACCTGAGGGAGGAACAAATCACTGATGATTTCAGTCGGATGACTCCTGTGCGTTTGAGTTCACCTTCCACCCACCTGAGCAGTGCAGAAGGTCCTTTCCAGAAGCCGGTTTGTCACACACCACACACAGCGTGGGACCTAAACAGGGACCCGTTCCAAACCAGTGGCCATTCAGGTGCCTATCCTTGGCTTCTCTGTCCTTCCCTTTTCCCTTCGAAAGCCACACCAAAGACATAGGTGTCAGCAGCCAAACCGTACAGATAATTACACCAAAATCTACGGTGTAACAGTTGCATTAAAGACGATCTTCGGAGAATGTCTTCTACAGTTTCGATTTCACGCGTTAAATATACCTCAAGCCCAAGGTAAAAAAAAAAAAAAAAAAAAAAAAAGCATGGAAGCAATTCCCGCCTCCCTCCAAGCTGTAAGAAAAATCCTTGGACTCGGAAGCAGACCAAAGAGTAAACAACAGATTGACATCGGGGAGGGTTTCCAGTCCCTGTGCTGACTCAACAACCGCGGGTTAATCATTGAAAGGGAAGAGGCCGGACACCATGTTTGGTCTGTCGCTCTGACCTTGAGTTATTCCCAGAACTGTTTCCTGGTTGAGTCTCCTCGAAAGCCAAAAGACAATCGCACAGTTCATACCAGAGACCAGAGCTGGAATTGTAAAGCTTCAGCATCTTTGTTGAGACTAAAACTGAGACTGAAAGTGGGATTTATTTTACTCAGTACAGTGTTATTGTTCCAAAAACACTCCATAATAGTGTTAGGATCACGTTACAGAAATGACAGGTAATGTTGAGTTCAAGGTGGATCGATACATTTTGTGGGATTTATTTGAACAACTTAAGATGAAAAAAAAGTTTAAAATTTTTATTATTAGTATGTGCAGTAAATGGCTCTAAAAATAAACATCATCCTCATAAACTATTTACACTGTTTTGTAGTTTAACTTTAGCACTCAAAACCAGAATTATTTTGTAAGGCTTCAAATCGATTAATATTTATTGATAATCACATGGAACCAAGTGTGAGGAAGAAATTTCAAGCAGCAAAATTATTGCTGCTTTATTGATGTCATAATAAACCACAATTCTTATAATGATAACAGCTAAAAGTATTGAACCATACTGTTATGGTTTCATACTTTTAGCTGTAAAGTTCCAGGTAAGCAGTACCTGGAACTCCTGCTTAGTTCCAGGTCCTGCAGTCTGACCTGTTTTTCTCAACAGCCACAAAAACTTAGCCTTAAAGACAACATTGGTGCTGCTCCAATGTGCATCTCTAGTTGGAAATCTGCAGTTTGTTGGTTTTACCTTGTTCTTGTTGCGTGTGCTGGACATCCTGTTCTTCAGAAAGCTGAATGTGCGAATGACTTTATACTTCTCTGACTCTGTCTTGGTTGGAATGCTGCACTTCTCCAACTCCTCTTCTTCAATCCTGCACAAAAAAAGGTCCTAAAGTTTTGCAATTCCAGATACAGAGTGGATGATTTTCAGAAAGCAGACTCAAAACTGTCACATTTCGTTTTCTTCTTCTTCCTGGGAAGTAAAGAAAATGACAAAAGCAAGCAGAACAGGCTGGTTTTTGAGATAAATCTCCAGGCAAATGAAATGTATCCGGTCACTTTAAGGAGCAAAGGTTCGTTCTCAAATCGGATGCGTTTCGGAGCAGAGCATTCCAGGAGAGTCAAAGCAACGACATGTAAACATCTCAAGAATCCTTTCTGTTAGTAAGTGAAATGTAAGAAAAAGGTTTTCCACTTCTGCACTGCTGTGACGTGAGCGAGAGTAAGAGTTAAAAGCAGAGGTAAAGGCTAAAAACATTTAAAACGGACAAAGACACCTGTGCATGCTACAGTCAGTGGGAGCTCAAGTTGCTCTTGCGCCGTTTGGAGCCAGATGGGGAAGGAGCTACCAGTTTTGTTTTGTGGTTAGTATTTTCAGCTGTGGGACAGTCAGGGAGAGGTCAACAGAGGTCGGTCCCGTACACATACTCTTTGAGAAACTCAGACAGGGTGAGATGCTGCAGCGACTCTGCCAGCTCAGTGCTGCCATCATCGTCAGCGGACTGGGCGCGCTTACGGAACCTAACCTCTCTGGAAAACACACGGACACACTGAATTCATCGGAATATAAAGGCAACAGACACTGCTTGTAAAATATTAAAGTTTATCTGTGCGATTTACAGCCGGTCTGATGTCTTCCTCTAAGACTCAGTAGTTATCATGGAGAAAAATGGAACAGTCAATGAAATATTTGACTTTGATTGTGTTGGAACAGGATCTAAATGATGAAGTGAATGTAAAGTGTTCATAATGAAGTCGTTTTATTTTAGCCAGAAGCCACAAGTTAAACCATCTCCTCCTGTAAGAAAAGCATCATGCTTCAGGATCATAGTTGAAGGGAAGGTGGAAGCAGATAAATATCAGTAAATACAAGGCAATCTTTGATAAAAACCTATTAGAGGCTGCAAAATACCTGAGGCAGGAGTTCACCTGTTGTATGTTTTCCAAAACATACAACCAGAACTACTATGGAATCCATTTGAAAACAGACCAATGAGTGTTTGCCGAGTCTTGCGAAGTTTTTTTAAATTAAAATAACTAATAAATGACAACTGTGCTCCACTTTGTTTTGATCTACCACATGCACTGTGACAGAATGTAAAAAAAAGATAGAAAAAAATTCAAGATATATCAAGATATTCATTGAAACTGCAAAGGAAGAAAAACAAGAGTCCGGTATAAAACTTTAATACCTTTTATCATTGGGCTGTTCTGAAATGCTGGAGGCTCTTTGTTCTGTGGAGAGATACAAGAAGAGAAGCTGTCTTTGATGGACAACAAAAAGAAAAGCTGCAAAAACACCAATAATAATAATAGGAAAGACTCAACAACTTTCAGCGTTTAACGTTTGTGTTTGTGACAAAGGCAAACAAACTGTCTGAACTTCTTGTGACAACTTCATCAAAACGTGAACAATAAATATTAAAGCTGAAACTGCGTTTTATCATCAATTCTCCCAGATTACAAGGAAATAGCAAAACAACTATGACAAAGTACTTCATTAATTTCAATTCATCTAAACACTTGTAAAGGGAGCTTTTACTCACATGGATTTAATTTCATGTTAGATTGTCATTTAAGTTAAAAAGAGGCATTTTTTAAATTCTGTCTTTAAGTTTTTTAAGATTAGAATGAACTAAAAGTCGAAATAAAGCTATTCACAGAATTCAAATATCGACATAAACTCACGTTTAAACAAGAGTTATTATTTAAACCGTTAAAGAAAATATTGGCTTGATTGTCACCTTATTCTCCTTTTTACCATCTAAATTAGTTTGTTTTGCAGATTTTAAAACTTTTGGCAAAAGGATTACTGTACCTAAAATGAGGCAGGAAGCCCAAAAGTGAAAATAAAATAATAATAACCTCACAGTTCTGCTCGCTAGAAACGTAAATTCTTATTTCCATAACTTTTCATCTGTACATGTTGTATCCTTGCATTCCCAAACGCTCAGCCTCACCTACACACACTCACACACGAGTAGAAATGCTCTCAGAGAAGTGCTGGGTGTGGTGCGGCGGCTGCATGCATCCAGTACTTACTGCCCGGGTGGAGCAGAGACAGAGACAGGGTGGATTTAGACAGAGAGAGCGCCTGAAGGAGAGATCGGCTGTGGCTGACGCTGTGGAGAACGCCATCTGCAGGACACAGTGCACAGAAGGCGGCTAACACAACCACTGCAGGAGGAGGGTGCAAACTATCAGCGTGAACAGTACAGTCGGGTTCCAGCACAGAGATACTCGGCAGGGTTTGTGTCATTTGACAAATTTATATTTCTTTTTAGAAAATGTGGTGTTTAAGTGTCCTGCATTTTGAAGCAAAATGGATATTTTATATCAACCCCCGTCAAGCTGCTCTGTCCAACAACTGTGTGAACATGACTGTACCTTATATTAGTGTTAAGACAGTAGCTCACAAATTAACACAACATGTAAGATTATTTCATTAGTGGAAGAAAATATCAGGAAAATTAGTCGTGTGTTAGACTGAAATGCTCTGGGTGTTAAGCGGACTGAGTTGTACCGACCAGGGCTACCTTCCGGCGTGTGGTTGTCCCTGGGGTTGCGACTAGGACAGAACTTGGAGTACGAGTAGGAATAGGAGCGAAGTCGAACGCCGTCCTCACTCAAATCCTACACGGCAAAAAAAACAAATCGAGGCAAAAATAAATATATGACAGGCGTGAAAAGAAATGTTTGCGAAAGGACGACCGCTAATTTTACTTTGGAGATGGGTTCGCACGCCGAGGCCGACTGGCTCCGAGTGCAAGTGAGATCGGGAGCTGGATGCGGCGTTTCCTTCTTCTCTTCGCTTCTACCAACATCTGAAAACAGCCGGGAAAGCAGAGACTTTGGCCCCGGAGCTTCTTCCTCACTGTCCACCTCCAGGGCCACCAGGCTGCGTGGTGGGGAGGGTAAAAACATTATAAGTCCGTCATAAAAGTAGGAACACTGGCACATAGAGACTTCAACAAAGGAAAATGTAACACCTGATGTCGCAGGTTTCCAATGGCGGGCTGCGACAGCTCAACCTGGTGAGGGCCCGATCTACTGGTGTGAGAGAAACGGACCCAGGGAGGAGATCTTCACAGCGGGGTCGAGGCGGAGGGGTGTCGGTCGCAAGAAGAAGGTCCCACAGGCCGCCATCAGTCCCTGTGCTGTCACGCGTCACATCATCTATTTTTAGCTTAATGTCCTCTTCACAAGCCTGAAGTTAAGAGTAGGAAAAAAAAGGGTTTAAAAAAGTTGAGGATTGGATTAATTTAAAAAGAAAATGTACAACCTGAGTCTGCTGATCTGAGTCGTTGACAACGGAGAGTAAAGGGTCCGAAGCCCGCTGGCTGAACTGGTTCTGAACTTCTCTGTCCCGTCCGGGGCGCCCATTTACTAAGACAAACACACACAGCAAAAATCTCATTACGCTTCCAATGTGGTCTGCTAAATCTTCCCCATATATTTGTCTTTTTTTTTTAATTTATTTATTTTTTTAACAATGCCAGACTGTTGTCTTTATAGAGCCGAAGGATTTATTACCAGACTGCCTGGTGAGAAATGACTTTAAAATTCTAACAATTCATCAAAACCTTAGCCAGATACGAAGATGTCAGGTTAGAGACCGCAGCTTTCAGAGTAATCTAAAGTAATACGACAAATAATCCAGGGGAAAAAAGTTAATAACACACACAGAAACGCCAAACTCAGAGAACCGATTATCAACATGTCACAATGCAGGACTATTAAGATATATTTACTTTCTCCTGGCCCGTATTATCCCATGCTTTACTCTGGTTCAGGATTTTCTTCTGTCTTTTTTCTGCTTTTTCAAACCACAACGCATCACTCTCTCTATGCACAAATGTCAAGGCTCAGAGAGAAGAAAGGAAAATGCGATGAGCTGCTGCATACCTACTCCCATTTGACCTTTAAAGGATTGTTTTTGTAAAAACCTCGACACATCATCCTCGCCGACAGGCCCCATGTGTTTGGTGAAAAATAAGTTGGATTACATTGACTTTCACTGAGTCGGGCCCCTTCGCTGCGATACATCTGCTTAATGTTTCTGCTCACTCTTCACATATGAAACGGTCAGAGGCCAGCCAACAGCAAATGATGTGCGTAGAGTGATAAAAGCGATAAACTTCAGCATATTACATTATATTACAAGCACATTGTGGGCATTTTTTTAATCAACCGGCCCAGTTCCTTTAAATCCGAGTCAGCCAAGCTATTTCCGATGACTGTAGGCTTACAGTATTTTTGTTTTTTTTACGTTTAAATTTGTCCTTGTTTTTTTATTCTTATATTTTAGCTCCATTTGTCTGTTACTTTGCTGCCAAGTTTTCCCACTGAGGAAAATTAATTTTTCTCAATAAAAAGAAAGAAACTAAAGCCTCTTAATCTAAGAAGAAAAAAAAAAAGAAGCACAAAAACTGGAACAAACATAATGATTTATTTCACAGCAATTGTCAAAGAAATAATAGGATAATATATTCCTTCTATAAGAAATTTGTTTTCTGACTACTGTAAATAAAGATTACGTAATATTTTTGGACATGCCAGTTTTGTCAATTCAGGAAGCATAAGTAATGAAAAACATCAGAATTTTATGAGTCTGCTGGAAATGTTGTAAATCTGTAAATGCCTAAAGGAACTATTTTAGGTTATTGGACTCCTTATAATGTCATCTAACGATTTGCAAATTGAGAGAAGATTATTTTTTGAAATACTAAATCAAACCTTTGTTTTTAAAACCAATCACAAAGAGCTGGCCAGAACAAGACTTATGCAGTGGGAAAAAAAATGCTTTCGATAGAGTGGGAGGAAAAAAAAAAGAAAAAAAAAACTTTCAGCCTGACTTCTATCCATTTCAGAAACTGGTAAAAATGAACTTCCTACACTCCTTCTTTCCTGTGACTCATGTAACAAAACAACGGAGAGCCAACATCGTTTTATTAAAATAAACGATGGGTAAACGATTAAACACACAACAAACGGCGTCTCGAAGACCGTTTCTTGTTCCGCACATGAAATCCTAACCTTCAAAATAACGCAGAGACACAATTATCCAAATCAGAACAATGCCAAAGAGGCTCCAAGTATTTCTGTGACTGAGTAGAGCGGTGCTTGCACAGGCTGTAAGTACATGTGCTGCTGCAGCATATCAGCAGGATTGGCAGAATAACAGCGTGGAAAATTGCCCGGCTTGATGAGTGCGCTTTCCACCCAGTCTTTGATGTCTGAACCAGCCAAGGCTGCACTAATGTAAAGGAAATCCTGGGCATCTCAGAGGCATTTCCTCTTTGCTTCTCTCACACAGTGAAGACACTGGAGTTTAAACACGCTGGCGCAGATGTTTTAGATCCAGTCCTGTCCTTAATTTCTCCCATTTGCAAAGCAGTGCGACGCTCCTTTAAATCCGCATTTTTCCGTGCTACAGCCACAACATTTTAAGTAATATAGAAAGCAGCGCATAATTTTGAAGCAAAGGGTGAATCTTCTTTTTTTTAATTATTTTTTACATATTTCTATAAGTTAAAATCTGAAGTGTGGTGTGAATTTGTATGCTGTTGCCCATGAGTTAGATTGGAAATTAGACTGGACCATTGTAAGGTAATGAGAGTTTTTGCAGTAACACTTTATTTGAAGTGGTAACATCTGTCATGAACATGAAGGAGTCTTCATGAATCTCTATGATTGTTGTCATGAAGTTCCATTTAGTTGTTATTTAACCAAATGACAACAATGATAAACATTTGTGAAGTTTATTACAGGATCACGTCAGTCTCATGCACACCGCTTCAAATGAAGTGTTTCCGTTTTTGCATTAGAATTAAAAGTAACATTTCATTAATCTTCTTTCTTATTTGCAAAAAAAAAAAAAAAAGGAAAACAGTGTTTCCCTTTATTTCAGCCTTTAAATTACATGCAAGTTTATGTTGGTCTATCACAATAAAGCCTGTTCCTGGTATGAAAAGATTTCAGAAACCACTGAATCTTACATGTGAAAAGCATGAAATACACAGAAGTGGAATTTGGTCATTTATGCATTTGATGCAACGTGTCAAAGCTCAGCTCTCCATGACAGTCTTTAGTCAGACGCTTTCTCATTAAAAGCTTCAATGTGTAAAGTAGAAGGAAAACAGCTTCTGTGTGCAAGTTTTGTTTGTGTAACTGAACGAGACGGTCGTCTAATGTCTCTTTATAGCTGGATGTGCCGACTCCAATAGTCCTTTAGAAATAAACAATAAAGTCAGGCACGTTTAAGCTCAAGAACTTTGGTTCAGAAACAAAATGACTGCCACAATAAAAAAATGCATCTTGATTATCACTGTTGGCGCAGACGTAGGAACACAATGACTATTCTGGATCATCTCATGCAGAAAGTATGACATTTAAGTTAATAAAAAGAACAAATTCATAAATAGTGCTGCTGTTTTAATGAAAAAAAAATGCTTAGACATTAGTGATGTGTGGTTTTTGAGAAAACAGTTGAAATGACGTATTTTATCACTTCTTAAGGTTAAAGAAAGCCTTGGCTTGATTTTATGAGTTGAAGATTTAAACTGCTCATCAAAAACAAACTTTTCAGCAGTAGATTTTCTCTGGGTATCTTTCACTTTAAATGCAGCCGTTTGATGTTGCAAAACATCAAAGTTCCACAATTAACTTGTCCCTTTAAATCACACAGGTGAATCTGCCAAAATCACAGGCTTTGTGTTTCTTACACAGCATGCTGTTTCCCTGAACACAAAAATAAAAAACTTCAGAATCCTGAATATTTCACGTGACGTTCTAATATGCATGCAACGTCTTTTGCTCGCAGCTTGAGAAAACGTGAGGAAAGTTTGCAAAGCGCTGCGTCTTCATCCTCCTGCTTTTGTGTTTAAATACAACCACAAGCAGAGACATGAAAACCTTCCCTCCTTCCAACCCGAAGGCTGGTGACAGATTGGTCTCTGCTGGTAGACAGAACGTCACAGCGCTTCGCTCCAACAATAACCGACAGGCGCTGAGTTATGTCGGCGAAACTGGAGGAACTATTATGATCATCCTAGCAGATTTGGAAGGAAACAATAACTCTGGCCGCCTCGCGTAGATGCAATTCTGACTAAAGCATTTGGATGACAGCACACAAAGGTATTTTAACTTAAAAAAAGAAAAAACTCTATCCTAAAGTAAACATGTCTTAACTATGAGGCTTTTTAAGCATTTTAGCTTATTAACATTCCAACTCTTGTTTCTTCGTGCTGACAGATCTTCTGACTAATCGGGGAAGCTGGGGGCAGGGGATGGCAGGGTGACAACTCTGGGGCAGCGTAGAGGGGGAAGAGAGGACGAGACACCCAGGTCAGACTGATTCTGAGGGGGACGAGCCTGACCCCATTCCCGTCTTTGTCCCGGTGATGGGGCAGATTCCTGGACTCTCGAAAATGACTCGTTGTGGAGTCCGAGCAGGCGGGACACAACCAGAACGGGCTTCCAGATTCACTGAAAGAAACCTCCCACCAACCACTGCAAGTCAGGCTGGAGCGTATCCCTCTGTGCGTCTGCAAAACAACAACTATTGATTTCTAGGGATGTGATTTGAAACAGAAGTCCGGTTGCACATCGCGCCAGTCCTAAAATAAAACAGGATTCCAGCTGGTGATGGTGTGCTGTTCCTAAACCCCCACTGTTCTCTGCAGCCACAAAAATTTTGTTGTGTTCTTTTCGGGCTTAGCTGTTCGTCATTTCAGACAGAGATGGGATGTTTGGGATGTTGTAGTAAAATGGGATGAATACATCTAAACCAGGAGTAGAAGGAGGAAGAATTACCGGGCAGTGATGACGAGTTTTCCTCTTCGCTGTCGGTATCGATTAAAAACAACGTCGTCGGATCGTCAAAAACCTTAAAAAGGAAGGAACACAAAGGCACACAAAAGATATAAAAGAATTTAAACACACTGTTCAGAGCAAGTATGTGTCATTTTTTCTGTATTTTGCTAAATTACAACCTCAAACATCATCGTATAAACCAAAACACATTGCTGCATAATAGTTCAGGATTTTCTCAAACTTTCTACAAATAAACATTGTGGTACCGTGTTCATATTCACGCTGGTCGACTCGGACTCTTTGTGGCCAACGTCCAAAACTTTCACTGATCCAGGGAAGCTAACGTCACCCAAACCCCTAAACGCATCATCGGACAGGGCTGAGAAACTGCTGCTTTTATGAGGAGCGCTGGTGAAACCTGAAACTGCTGCTGTGCAACCACTCAACAGGTTGTTGCTAGGTAACCAAAGAGTGAATGGGTTGATCCCACCAACATCATCAGAGGTTGAGCAGCGAAAGCCTGTCCTCTGCCTACATCCTCCAGAATGCAGCCTACATCCTCCAGAATGCAGCGTGGTTCTGGGTGGAGTTCACTCTGTCAGACGTATTACCTACTGATAGTGGTCATAGTTATCGATTTAGGGCTGCTAAATAAAGCCAGTTTAGAGCCGCTAAGGCTACATGACCTTGGGAAAAGACAACCACATCTTTCAATAAATATCTACCTTTTCTAAAAGAAACATCATTTTACTTCAATTTGGGGATTTTAATAAAAAACATACAACTTTTGCCCAAAAAGGGATACTACATTTTCTTCTGTGGAAAGTGGTGCAAAGAATATTTGTAGTTTCTAGACAAAATACAAGTCAGACAGAAATAAAATAATAATGCTGGTTCTTTTTGTGTCATTCTGTTGTGGGGCATTTAATTCAATTACTCCATCAAAAAAAAATTTTAAAAAAACTTTTGAAACCTGCATTTATTAATGTAACTGTATTTAAAATCATCAGTGGGTTCTTTATCATCTTTAGCCAAAGTGATTATGTTCAAGGAGCCACTTGGGAAGGTTGCAAACAAATAATTTAGGGAATAGCATATTGCTGTTTCTGAATGACCTAGTCAAAGTTCACACCTAAATCCAAGCAAGAATCACTGGCAAGAATGAAGCCTGATGTTTTCAGAAGGCATGACTGGCTTTCAGCAATCGTCCATTGAAGAACAGACAACTTCTCTGACAGTTATTTGTAAAATCTTTCAAAACCATGAATGATTTAAGTGTAATTGTTGTGAGGAAAAAAAGCTCTTGCAAGGCACTATAAAAGCAAAATATTGACTTTTTTTTGTAAGAATACTCACGTTGTCCACCATGTCTTTCCCATCTACATGAAGCTCCTTGGTCCCACCTGTACCAAAAGAGAAAGCATGAAACAAAAGGTGTTGAATAAAACACCTCCACTTAAAAATAAACAAAGCGGGTTGTGCGGAAAGAACGAGATCAGGCTCTCTCTCGACTCTTCAGTCCATAAATCCAAAAGAAACAAATGAGATGTTTTGTTCGTCCGGTCCTGAGAAAGAACACACACTCCCTGCCGAGAAGTTGTTATTTCAAGAGAATTAATGGAGAGCTGCAGAAGTCGGCACAGGGTTAAGATCAATACTGAAGTACACTTCCTGCCTGCCATGTGAGTCGATACCATCATCTGCCAACTCTATGGTAACCAGAAAGAGTGGCCCAAGTTACAGGGAAAGATCCAGCCACTAAAACAGGAAAAAAAAAACCCAAAAAACTGATAAAAATCTTTCTCTATGTGGGTTTCCAAACCACCCTGAGCATGTCACGCAAGGAAGGAGGTGGAGTTTGGAAAAAACAGAAACAATCGACTCGTTTTCTGACTTATGCTGCACAGGGACGTCTCCTTTTATGGAGTTTGTTAAAAGTGTTTTGTTTTCTTTTTCCCTAGTTTCTGCAGGCTGCAAATGATGGATGTTTGAAAGAACGCGCTGTTTGCACAAGTGAATCTGCGGTTGTTCGTTTCCTACAGCTCTGCAGTGAAGCCTTCGTGCTCGCATACCCACGCAGAGGCTTCCCACCGCCAGCCGTCTGAACGGGACGGTGGGAAACACAAGCTAATGATTAACTAATGATTATTGGCACTAATCTAGAGCCCTCTGATAATTAGGTTGGAACAAATCAAATACTCATTTAGTCGGAGCGACAGCGCCGTCTCCCAAGGTCTGCACGGAGTTACGAGAGGAAAGCGGACGTTCACACATCAGAGAACCTTAAACGCAGGAGAGTGATGCTGATAAACCGCTTTAAAAATGAATGAGCGCCAAAGCGAGTGTGAGCCTAGACTTATACTGTTAGATACTATATCCATCCAGACACACGTTATACTCCAGTGGGTCAGGAATGTAAGAATTACAGCTGAGTAAATCTTGGATTTTTTCCAATTTCTATTTTTCTCTCTTTGACAAATATTTTCAGAACTTGGCTTTTATTTCAATTGTCTCTTCTACGAGTTGACTTGAATTCAAACTTCACTCAAATACATGATGTAAAACAAGATAGCTCGAGGGTGAGGGTAAGTATTGTATCATTTAACATTTATTGTGAAACATTTCTTGTCATGGTAAGAATTTTGATTTATCGCTGTCACAAAGAATTTCAGTCAATGCTAAAAAAAATACATTAAAATCGGACTTTTACCATTTTTTATATGTAAATTTGAAAATATGATTAAATGAGGTGCGGCTTATCACCAAATTTTATAGCACTATTGTGAAAACTACACAAAAACTATCTCTTACTTTTTTTAGGTAAACTCTTGACACAGCAGTCATAGCACCACATACATCAAATTCTTGTCTTGATAAACATTTCTATTTGGAATAAACCACATGCTTATCACAGACGTATGATTTATATCATTAAACTACAGAAACCCAAGGAAAAGAAAAATTCAGATCAAAAAAATAATTCATCTTCATAAACAGCAAATTTAATTAAGTGGAATTTGCAAGACCTTTAAAATGCTTTTTTTTTTATTGAAGTCTTCAATTCACTCTATTCAAAGCTACAACGGCTTCATTTTATATGCAGCTAAGTAGCTACTGTACAACTTATTCACCGCATTTAAAATACCAAAAAGGAAAAACAAAACACTTACTTTGATCATTCAGATGAGCTTCACTTTTGTGACACTTCCTGTGTTTCCCTCTCAGACTGTTGATCTGAACAGAAACAAATATTTGTGTTGTAAAACGACCATAAATATTACGCTAAATGCTTTGGCTTTTAAGCTTTTCTTTGTTTTGTATGTGAGCTACAAACATGTCAAAGTAATTGCTCTCCTAAGTAGGTTAACAGTGGCTGTAAGTTGTTGTGGATTTCATTGGAGTGTATGAGAGTAAACAGAACACCACAATTGTCAAATTATATTTGAAGATCCTATTCCTTTCCACTCTGATCATTTAAAAACATCCCAAGAAATTACGCTTAGGGTTGTAGTCGGAATGCTACAAAATGTGGAAATACTCAAGGAATGTAAATACTTAGTGAGAAAGCAATGTGTTCATGTTGCTTTATGTCATAAACCATGAAACATATCCATGGGCATATTCATCAGTACTATACTGGAGTTATGGAGAAAAAAACAACACAAGGTCAGAATAATGAATCAAACTAATAGTGTTTCCTGCGGTTTCACCCCACCTGTCTGCAGATTCTGTGGTCTTTCAGTTTTTCTCTGAGAACCATAATGGCGTCCTGGGGGCAGCCAACGGGAGCCTGTCGCAGAGTGAGGAAAACAGACTCTGTTCCTGGACAAAACCTCAGCATGCAGGCGCTGTCAGCCCACAGACAGAAAACACCCAGAGGAGGGCCTACGGGAGCCTCAGAGGGACTGATGAGGGGAAAGAAAGAAAGCAAACAAACAAGAGTACTGAGTTAACATGAAGTCAGTTCATGCTGAGTAGCTATAAACAAGCAATATCTAACTTGCTCTTGACATTTAGTACCTTTGCTAATCGCTGCTAAATTATATTTCTTAGGAACAGAAATGTACAATATTAGTCTTTCACATCATATTTATCTCCAGTTAAAGTCTTTCTAACTGTACAGTAGCTTTGTTAGCAGAATAAACACTGCAGAATACATTCTGCCTCTCAAAACATCCAAAACTCTGCAACGAGGAGCAAATATAAGTTTTTTGTTTTTTTCTACTTCTTCCACAGTTAACTTTCCAGCTCAAATCTCCTCAGGTCAGCTGGTTCTTGACAAATGTAGTTTCTGTGTTTTTTTCTAAATTCTGTTTACACTCTGCTGGCCCCATAAAGCCCCCAGTGGGGATCTTACTGCCCTGGGGAGAAGCGCTGCCTCGTTACATTGGACGTTTTCACAGTCTGTATACAGCAGTACTTGTTTTGCAGCTTGAGAAGCCTTTCAGGTGTTGCTTATTATCTAAGCACAGACGTAAGCAATGAGAAAGTCAGGCTTTTTTCAACTGGATATAACTGGGATTTGCAAAATAAAAATATTTACTCCAGCATTGTGTATTTCTCCAATGAGGAAAATGTGCATGCAGTAATCGTCCCACAAATTAGTACATTTCCATAAGATAATCATAGTATTAGACTGCTAGGTACCCGAAGGTGGAATCAAATCCGTCCTCCTGGGCCAGCTGGAGCGGAGTCTCCCTTTCCTCGTTGGGTAAGCTCTGCAATGTTTGACCTGCAGTTTGGTGAATTAAGAAGCGAGTGAGGTGGACCAAATGCAAGCGGACAGCAAGGTGAAGAAGGGCTTCTCTGTGATGATGTTCATGACCTGGAGAGAAAAGACAAAACAGGAATTCAAATGAATCAAATCAATTATATTTAAGCTAAATTTAGAATTTTTCGTACATCAACAGCTGCTTAGATCATCTCAGCAGTAGGAAGCCTTACAAATGTTCTCATTTTGACACTTTGCAAACATTCACTGACTGTTTTCTTTATTGAACTTATTTGTATTTAAGAGAATTGCATAAATCAATAAAAAATACACTGACATTTGTGCTGTAAAGGCACAAAATGATCTTCGCTAGTGATTATGTGCAACTCACTGAGTTGTACACGTGATTCACTGTCCATGTGTGGAATCTGTAGTAATAACGTGTGAAAATACAAGGAATGAATGACTCATAAATATGTCAGTTCCAAACAGTAAATCAGCAATACTACAACCCAGAAAAACTGGATGTTTCACTGAACACACACCTGGAGTGTGTGTCCTGAAGGCTGCTGATCAGTGGAGTATAAGGGACTGTAAACATTGGCCTCTCGACTCAGCAGAAACACTTCAACCTGCTCTGGATTGGCTAATGCTCTGCATAGGTAAAAAGCAACAGCAACTTGGGGTATTTTATTTATTTTCAATTTTTAATTGTGATCTCAGAGACAATTTTCAAAAGGATGAACATCATATGGGTCTTTAGAGTTTTTATCACGGTGCAGAAATGTAAAAAAGAAGAAAAATAAGATAATCTACTATCACTACAGTTGCAAAATGACAAGAATTGCCCCATGGGCTCTATAACAGTGAATTGCTCAAACTGTGACGAGACAATAATGCCCGACGACTTCATGAAAAGGTCAAGCAACAAGAAAGTTATTGTCAAAGTTTTGTTTCTGCAAACAACAAACTGAGGGGCCGTCCGTGTGGGGGATGGGCGAGTCAGCAACAGTTAGTTTGCATCTGCACCTTGTGTGTGTTTTGCACGGACATTTGCTTTCTCTAAACAAATTATGACCATATTTACACTCCTCTACACAAGGGCTCTTTGTGTCCTACATTTCAGTTTGTTGGCTTACATCTGCCTGTAGAGCTTTTTCTTCCCGGCGGTGATCTCTGGTTTGTTTAAAAGGAGCTAGGTCGCAATTTAGAAGAGTTAGAGTTTTGCTAACATCTAAAAATACTCCAATGTATATTTAATATTCCATATATCCATTTATCTGGAATAGGTGCTGGTGCATTATTAGAGTTAAAATGCTAACTAATAGTTTTAAGCACAAAACAGCTAATAATTTTCTGTTTTATTTTTTTTAACTTTTTGTAAATGTTAGCAGCCTTTTCAGAATCTTGCAGTCAAACTGAAGACATACACTCTTTATGGAATAAGCATAAAGCATATAACATTAATAAGGTCTCTTATTAATATTAGTCAGGCTAACAATGCTAGCTGTTGACATAAAATACTAGAGACAGTTTAAAGTTTGAACTCTTAATATTTTACATTAGTTTAAAAATAGTGAAACATAATTCTACAGTAACTATTCTTTCACACAATGTGATGTCACCTTAACTCCAGATAGAACAAAATAATGATGGTGGGCAAAAATATACACACAATTATTGAAATCTTCCCTTTTAGAAGCTAATTAATCCAACCTTAATGAACAGGATTTTACTTAGTGAAGTTTAAATGGTCTTTGCCATGTAGTGTGCAAACTCGTCTGGGTTTTCAGAGATGTCAAAAAGCATCATCAGCCAGGAGGAAGCTCATGGAGTGTCTGTAAACTTGCCCGTATGACCCCACCTCGTGCTTTACCTTCTCTTAGCTCCCTGTCAGGGTTTTTCCACTGCTGGGGGTATTCCATGTTAGCCAGGGCCAGAGTGATTGTCTCATCCAGATTTTTCAGGTCAACATTATCACCTGAACTTCCTGTGAGCTGAGTCTCTATTTCTCTGAAGTCTGACTGTCCACAGATCTCCTGGTCAGCTGCCTGCACCAACAAAGGAAACCTCCTCAAGACTTCCTGATAGCTCTGAGGGTCAAGCTGGTCCCAGTCCCCACTAAGGTACTCTGCTGCGTCCTGCGCAGTATTCCTAAAGTATTCAAGGACAGCTGTACACTCATAAGGATAAACTCCATTGTTCGTGGAGATGTAGGCTGTGACAGAGACAACTTCCACACGATCATGACCTGTGGATGAAAAACAAAACAACAAGTTACAAAAATGGCAGTCAAAGAGACAATGAGAGTCACCCAGTGATGATTTAGGGAATCACCTGGAACGGTGAAACAAAGAGTTCGCTCGTCACTGCCTCTTTTTGCGGTGGTCACGTGAGTAAGTCTGGAGCCTTCTGCAACAACATAAAACTCGCCGTCTTCAGGGACTGCTTCTTGCAGCAACATGCAACCATCAACTTGTCCCTAAGATAAGGAGAAAAAAACATCCATTCATTTAAATATATCTTTGCAAGGCAATCAGAACATGTAACTGCGGTTAACTAGGCAAAGGTTGGATTCTTTTATCAAGGTTTACAACGGTTTTAAAAAAGCTGTCAAGTACTTTTACAAGGTGCCAGAGTAAGTGCTGGAGTGATTGGTCCATTCCATGTTTGTACAGGGGATAACGTTGTGCCGCAAAAGTTCCAGACTTAGCTTTCTAAACTTCTCTGCCCTTTACATTAATCTTAAGTGGACGGAATACAAGACGAAAGAAATTAATAAAAACAGAGAAATGGGAGAAGACACAGCAAAGGAAAGAATAAAGGACATGATGGAGGAAGAGAGATACTACACAAGATGATGTTTTCAATGCTGAAATTGCAAAAGACCGGTTTGACGTAATATTTGGCAGGATATCACATTTCATATGACATATTTAATAGCATATTTAATAGCTGACCAGATGAATGAACAATAACTCCCTCAATGCCCACATTAGGTGAATTTTCTATTAGTTGCTCATGAGCAATGTCCTAAGAAATATCTGTCTTGCAATATTCAGCAAGATTTCCTTAAAATCAGCCTTAATTCATGGTGATTGTTCCTCCACAAAGATGCAGAAATTGATTAATGAGATGCAGAAACCTCTCCTATTTACAGGGAATTAGTGCGGTTGGAGAGCTACGCTTGCAGCAGTACATTTGTGATAGGAAGAACCTGTGTCTCAAAAACGCTGAAGACTTTCACATTAAAAGCTTGGATTTCTACATCTGCAGCAACCCAGAGAGGTTTGAACAGTCTGCGAGATCCTGGAGACCAACTACATTCATCTAAATTACACAATTGCTCAACAAAACTTCATATTGCAATAGAATCATCTTTATCTAGTCAATGAATGAAGAGTTGTTGCTTAAGCCCAGCCAGCAGATGAGTAGGAAAAACAGCCACCTTACTGTGGGAGCCAACGCTCTGGCTGCCTTTTTTCAACATTGTGTGAGCCAAGTCATTTATCACAATGTTATTCTCTTATTTAAGAGAGAACAACATAAAAATAATCATGGTTGACATAACATCCAGTATCTGGATCGCACCTCCTGTGCCTTGTGAAAGAATAAGACATTTGATAATAAGACTCCAGACAGATGTGATCTATGGCCTATTCTCCACTGTGTTATCATGACACAACCTGATCCACAATCTGTGAATAATTCAACACCTAAACTCTTGCTTCCCATATGGTCAGATTTTCAGGTAAGGCACATTATAAACGGAAATATCCAGGCTAATGATAAAAGCAATCAAAGCAAGATGGAAGACGAAAACATAACTCTGTCTTGAAATGGCATAGCTGTAAAATATGACTGAACTGTTTTAATCCTAACGCTGCATCCAAACATGTGGATGACAAGAATCTTGATGTGTTGTTCACCATTCTGGAGCAAAACAACATCAGATCTGCCGTCCGGTCTCCAGGAGACCAGCAGTTATCAAGTAGAGCGCTTTGCTATGATCCCCAGAGTGCAACACATTCGTGACGTCAGGGGAGTGAGACCAGCGCCGCTGGAACAACAAAAACAGCTCCGATAACAAGCAGTTCTCCTCAGTGAGAAGCTGCCTGATGTCAGTTTTTCTCCATATAGGATTACAGCTCAGACACAAATGAGAAACGGACGGCACACTTTTTTTTATCATTATTATTATAATTCTCAGATGACATTTAAGAAGAATTAGGCTACTCAAAATATAAATGATCAAACCAAAAAACGCGCAACAAAAGCAAAACAAAACATCATCGTCAGGACTTCAAACTTGCTCTGATAAATTTCCCTCTGAATTCATAAACTCAGAGATTAAGCAAGAGAGTCTTAAATCGATTACGATTCAGTGAAGTGTCCTGACCTTCAGGATCTGTTTGGAGTGACAACCAACATCCTATTCTCAAACTCTGCTGATTTAATCTGAAGAGAAAGAGTGCCCTCTCCACACTGTGTAAAATGTGTAAAAAGCCCTCATACTAAAACTTCTGGGAATAATATAAAAGGATAAATAACATGATATACTGTATATTGTATGAGTAATGAGACGAGAAAGTGTTCCACTCAAAAGAAAATTAAAAAACTCTGAAATTCTCTCCCAGAGGAACTACTTGGCTCGCTGTGATGCTACTCTCTTCTGTACACCTGTGCATCCGTTTGAGCAGAAATGCATCTTGGTAATTCTTTATCCTGCATAGTGGGATGTTTAGCAGAAGGTCACAGCAGAAGCTGAGCGCCGTCTTTTTTCTTGTTTTAAGGTTTTGTTGGCCTTAATTTGAAAGTAGTTAGACAGGAAGGAGGGGAATGAAAGAAGGGAAGACATGCGGCAAATGACCCAGCAACCAACACCAAGAGGATTAAGGCGTCAGTAGATGAGCTCTGCCTCTTTTCTGTGGTCATCAGAGAGATCACTGGAGTGACACTGGACAGTATCACTGTGGGCATTTATCGTATAGTTTACTATTTATCGGAAAAAACTTTAACAATTTAAATTTAGATGTAATGTTATCTTGATCAATTTAAAATAAAAACAGAAAAAAGATGATTAGATGCAGATACTGTGTGCAGTTTAAGAATATAAATCACACTTCTTTCTGCCCTTCGCTGACACCAGTGACCTCCAAACAGTTGGTTTTTTTTCTTTAAGTAAATGGTGTCCAAAACAAGCCTGTATTAAAAGAATGTGGTTCTACAAATGCTGTGCCATGCAGTTACCTAAAACAAATATTTAAAATCTGTTATTGAAATCATAATTATAATTTTTTTAAATGTAAAACATTTAATATGACACAATTGAAAAAATATAGTACATGAACGCATCAAACATCTCCCATTTCATATTGTCAGAGTGAAATCAAGCTTCTGCAATAAAACATGGACACTTATTCAAAGGGATAGTCAAAAAGCCTTAAGCAGGTATTTCAAGTATGCGACACTTGCTGTAGCAGGTACAAACGTTCACCAGCTTCAGGCAAACAATATTTAGCTTTTTTTTCATATGGTTTATTGCTAAGCCCATGTTTAGTATATGTACTGCTTATTTAAATTGGTGAAGTGCAACACAATTACATAATTGCACCCCAACTCAAAAGAAACCAGCACACAGAAACATGCAACTTTAGTGAGATCACTGTCTGTATTATGACAACCTCACCTAATCCTTGTCCATTTATGAAAATATGACTGGAATCCCGTTTAATAACTGCTATGATGACATGATTAAAACTAAATTTGACAGTAGCTAGTAGCTAGTTGTTTGTTTTTTTAGATTGTTTTTTTAGTTGTTTGTTTTTTTAGCCCCAGTGTTTTGTTCAGCTGGTGGAGAAAAGCTGTTTAAATTCTTGTAATCTAATTGTAGACTGTTTTGTGAAGGTCCCAAAGTTTGTTTGTTTTTTTAAGATTGGTGAAGACCAGTTCCTTTGGATCATAAAAGACTAAGGAACAAATTGTCTTGTTTTGTTTTTGGGCTTTTCTAGAAAATTTCAGAGCTTAATCTCAAAATTTCTCACAAACTTTTGACTTTTGGATCTCTGAAATTTCCTCGTCTGATTTTCGAACTAGAAGAGAAAAAAAAAAGTTTAGTTGAAAATTATTCCTCCTTTGTATCGGTTTACAACGCCCCTAACGCATTGTCATGGTTATGTCTGATTCAGGCAACTAAAACATCACTTTGCTGTTTGTTTCAGAGGAGCTTCTTCCAGTCTTCTTTTAAAGTAAGTACAAAAACTTTCAGGGTAAGAACTTGGAACATCTAAATACCTGGAAATTAAAGCTTAAAGCTAATCTTTGTCTTACATTTAATTTTCTTGTCGAAGCCAGTGCGGATCACAAAAGCAACCAAATGTGTCCGTGACGTTCAGAGGGGGAACGAAGACCTGGTTCTAGTGGTCGCCTCAATTAAAACCCGCTTCCACTCAAACTCCTCCTGCCAGGGCGTAACCCCGTCCACTTGTCCATTGATCTCACAAGTATCTGCAACTGGCCTGACACCACGTTACATCTGTGAAGGTGCCCCATAAAACTTTGTTACAATGGAGGCCTTTATATGACGGCTGCACGCTGCGGCTTGTCCGCACAAAGCCCGCCATTGAAATCTGGATCTCATTCAGCAGCTGGAGTTGCTCCTGTTGAGCCGTGTGACCTTCCAGGTTGGAGACGCTACTTCCTCCGACCGGAGAGGCGCTGGAACCCGTAATGATTCACATGCCTGGCTTTCAGACCTTGCTGAGTCGAAGCGAAGGGGTTCTTTTGGAGGGGTGGGGAGCCGTCATCTCTCCACCCAACACCACCCTTTTTTTTTTTTGCCTCCTGAAAGCGGTGACACAGCAAAACAAGCAGACACTCGGCTAACAAAAAAATCTGGCATCGCTTCAACGACTGGCCCACCCACGTTTCCACACGTACACAAGGGCACGGGAGCACCCGGGCGAGAGAGAGAGAGAGAGGCAAAAGGAAAAAGAGACAGCAGATTTGGAAAACTGAAGGGGAAAAGGAAGGCAGAATGAAGAAATAAAAGTATTACACAAACTTTGTCCCAAAATTAACCAGGCACACCCAGCTGTTAATGCACATCCCGGATATCTTTTCACCACTTAAAACTTAAGTGGAGTTGCCTTTGAGGAGCCAAAATCCCACTCAGACGCGTTTATTCCTGCATCGTGGCCTTCGTGTTTAGGAGAAGTCATGCTTTTAGAGGTTGTATTCATTCGGCGGAAAGCTTGTTAAAGGTCTGGCTTCCTTTGGGACTAAAACCCTGACTTGGGTTTCATCAGCGACACAAGTCTCACCAGTCAACCAGTGTTCGGAAGGCTAGTTCTTTGGAGACAAAGAAATTGCTCAAACTGCTCTGCCTCTGGACAGGAAAATAAAATGTTGTAAAAAAAAAAATCACCCAGCAGACGTACACAAGACCAACACGTGTCAAAATAAAAGCCAATTGTGCTGTTACTTACATATAAAGGAACCTCTTGTCTGTTCACCTCCATTTTCCACCCATCCACCAGATACCTGCAGATGAAAGAGTCGAGTTACTCTAATGTTAAGTTAATAATAACACCAGAAACCACAAAGCTGTGGGTGGCCTGGACCCGGTCTAATCTATAACCCATGTTTTCTTCAGACCACACTCATTTGTTCTTAGTTTTCTGGAGCTTTTTTTTTTTTGTCAAGCATAAAAAGAAGAAACAATTGTACCCCTCTGAGATGAATTTAATCTCCACAACGTGGTGTTTGATATTTTGATTATGAGCATTTGCTCATGATTGTAAGCAAATCAGAAATGGAGGAAAAAGGGATAATTCTGCTGGAGCTGCTGCAGTCAAAGAGAACAAAAGCTACTTTTGAAAGATCTTGCAAAAAATTTGGTTAGCATGAGATCCATCATTTCTATGATAAATCCTGTTTGTTGCTCCGACAGAGAGTTTTGCAAGATCCCAGATTACTTTCAGCTAGTTTCTGCAAACATGTTTTTTCTTACCTCTTCCTTATTCTTATATGTTTCCAGTGTTTTCTGTCCGTGGTCTGAGGCTATGCGTTTGCAAATGCAACATCTCGCCAAGGTAACTCAGAATACTATGAAATGTTTTCTGCTATCCTGATTATCACTGGAGGAGATTCTCCTGGAATTACTGCAAAGGAATCTCAACCTGAACCTTGTGCAACTTTTGTAATATCTAAAAAAATAACTTAGCATTATGGGGGAAAAAAGGAATATTTTAACACTAATATCCTAAATAGAGCCTTTTCTAATATCATGCAGTTTTTTGTTTTTTTTATCTAGAATATCGTGTTCAAAATATAGAAACAGACAGGAGTTTAAAAAAGTCATACTGACGTAAAAGTGAAGCAACTGTTAATTATTTTTTAAAACTTTAGTGAATGCACAACGTTAACGTCCAACACTTGAACCTGTGTGACAGATGCTACCGCGGCTACACCGTCTATCTGCTCTGACATGGTGAACCACAGCAGGAAACGAGAACTGCATCTTCTGCTCAGATGTAATCAGCCATGACATCATCCTCAATTGAGCATTAGGATGAATACTAACACAAACAGTTTGATTGTGGGGTCAGACAGGTTAGCTTTGCTTCTTGTTTGCTCTCTATGCTAGGCTAATAATGACGAAGACAAAGTAACATTCTCCTGTTGCTGTCAAGCTGCTTACATGTGTGTCTAGAGTTGGTTTGTGTTGTATAGTTATGAAGAATTTTTTTTTAAAGTAATCTCACAGCTGACGTGTCTTTTTCATTAGCTGTTGCAACTCGCATTGTTTATTGGCAACTCCGTTGTTTATTTTAAGAAGTTACGAGGAACAATTGCGAAATCTTACAAATGTTGCAGAGTACGTCGCTAAGTAACCAAAGAGTGAGTTAGTTGAGGCCACCCACCTCGCTTTTAGCCGAGAGGTCAGCTAAAGCCTTTCCTCAGCCTGCATCCCCCAGAATGCTGTGCAGTTCAGTGAAATTATTGAATGTCCTTTCAGACGTATTATCTATTGATACCAATCACATCTACTTCAAATAAGACAAAACTAGATTGCAAGTAACTTTTCAACAAGATATAGGAAATTATTTTTAGTCAAAGATTTCTTAAATTGGTTAAAAAGTACTAGTTCCATTGACAGATTATTTCTATTATTGTAAGACGTTTCTTCCATGTTATGAGGAATTATTTAACTAAAACAAGCAGCTATTTTTGTTGTTGTTGAAAAGTCATTTGTGAGTTAGTTTTGTCTTATTTCAAGTGCACTAAGACAAAAATACTTCTCCCTGCATATTTTGGAAGTTGTGATTTCCTTTGAGTGTTTTTTTCTCTTTTTTTATGTGTCTAAAACTGGAAGTGCTGGGAAATAACAGGCTAGAGCACTAAGATCCCTACCAGTTTTGCATACTATAAAGTATCCAAGGCACGTACAGCACTTTCAGGAGAAGATACCACAGGCAAGGGCGTCTCTGATTTTAATTCTATATCAGTCAACAGGTGAGTCTACATTTCAATATTGTAGTGTAAACATTGGCGCAGGTTGACAGGCTTCGCCCCATCAGGTCAACAAGCCTTTACAAAAGCTTTAAAAAAAGAAAAAGGGGCATGACACAAATGCACCAGTTCAAACAATGAAGAGCCGTCTGGCTTTGATCTTACAGAGTTCGTCAACAATTACCGTGATGTCAAACCGTCAAATGATCAGATAACCAAACCAAGACAAAAAGAAAGTTAAAAAATCACCTTGGGAGGAGGATGAGTTGCAAAGACAATTATTTGCGTTCGTCATTGTCCAGGCCCAGAGCTTACAGTGACTCAGAAACCTGAGCTGGCTCAGGGCCACGCTCCCCCCCAGAACCCAGCGTGGGAAAAGAGATTACAAGCAGAAGATTGCACGCTGTCAGAAGGCATTCGGTGAGCGTCTTTGACAGCTAAGAATGCTATGCAAATGGTCTCAGATGTAAGCGAGTACGCCCTGCACTTTCTTGTCAGGTGAAGCGGGATTGGATTATGTAATTCCTTTCGCCTGGCAAGCTGCCACACTACATGAAAAGAAGTAGCTTTAAACTAGCTCCCTGATGCAATTATGCCTTAATGTGCTGGGCATTTTACACACAAGGAGGAGACTAACACGGCGCTAATGAGCGCTAACATGATCATTAAGAAGAAGCGATGCAAATGTATCAGGAGTTTCCGCCCGGTTAACTGTGATGCATTCGTCATATGCAATGTTGACAGATGCTATTTTAAAGATGCTCTCTTTAAAATAGTTTTTCTACCACTAGCAAATCTAGTTACCACACAAACACTGACGATGTTTGGATTTTTAATGCAGGATTTCACACAGGCCGTTTTAAACGATCCCACTTTAGAGGAAAACAGCAAACTCCGCTCAGTTTATAGTTTGGTTGGTGACATCACAAGTTGCACAAGAACCGAGCTTGATCAGCTGGCAATGGTGAAGATTGTGACAGATAAGTGGCTCTTTGCAGATTTTGACAGAAATCTGGGTTGCATTAGCGTCGTCGCCGATTGAGGACTTAGTGTCTGCGTCGGAGTTTGAGTCGGGTGACTCCCAAGCCTCGATGAGCACTGCTGCTGAAGCAAACTGCGACAAGTACAGTCGCAGTTTCCTATTTGAAGCTTTCCCTGTGATTGGTATTCCTGTGTATTTGAAATTCATAAGTGCATTTTTGAATTTTATATTGCCTCTTCATCATCACTCTTACATGATTTGTCGGTACAAAGGAAATGCATGGATTTGGATCTCATATTACTTTGAGTTCACTGATTGTAGAGTATTAGAGCTTTTTGTCTCGTTTCTTTCCTGAGATGTCGACTAGAAAAATGGAAATGGCGTAACGTGTCCTGCAGGTACAAACTGCAAAAACACATCTTAAAAGTATTTTTGTATAGTTTCTAGTCCAAATATTTCATTGCACTTCAAATAAACTAGCATACAAGTAACTTGTCAGCAAGATATGGAAGGGTTTTTTTAGTTTTCAAGATAGATAAGTTTGTTTTGAATAAATAACTACTCAATGGGAACTTAAATTTCCATTTAAAATAAAAAAGTGCCTCTTGTGATGTTACTGGTCTTACTCCATTCAAAGCAGAAAGAGCACAGATTGTTTTCGTCAGAGCCCTCGTTTAAAACATTGATTACGGTGAAATCCAGAAATGTAAACTGGTGCTTCATTACCCAGCTGGGTTTTATTGCAAGCGCACAACTAAGATACATACCAGTAGATAATAACTTTAAAACTGCTTTACAACTATGTAGCAAAACAAATAAAATAAAAAATAAAAAATCGGACCATAAACAGGTCAGTTCGAGAAACTATCCCCAAAATCTGATTGAATTTTACAGAAAAACACGGACCGACTCTTCAAAACATCATCAGCATCGAGGCTTATTCCTTTGGAACGATAAAGCGACTTATGCTGAAAGCCACTCAATGCAACCTCCCAGCCTTGGGGCCCTAAGCGACTGCCTAGTTCGCTTATACCTTCGGTCGGCCCTGGTCTAAACAGACCAATTAAACAAACGCACGCGAGCTAGTTCGTTAATATTAAGGGAGCACGAGCGAAGAAAAAAACTGCGAAGCTATCTAAAAAGCTATTTTGAGCACCGTTTTTGTTTTGTTTGTTTTCCCTGAATGAGAATGACCCGGTCTGCCATTACCTGCCGTCGTCCCCGCTTGTCGTCTGTCGCAGAACTTTCTGTTAATTCGGTCTCGCTTCGGCTCTCCGCGGACTCCCGCAGCTCTCACGCTCTCGTTCCGCTCCAGTTGCTTCGGTTTCATCCGCGTTTTTTTTTTTTTCTTTTTCTTTTGTGTAGCCTACTGGGAAAAAAAAAACTAAAGTCAGCACGAGGAGTTAATGTCTGCAGGTGTTGCCGTGCGGGGTTTGCTGCTTCCAGGCTGCACTCCTGTGGTCCAGCCCCCCTCTCTCGCTCTCTCTCGCTCTCTCTCCCTCTCTCTCCCTCTTTCTCTCTCTCTGTCTCTCTCTCTCTCTCTCCGTCAGTCACCGGCTGCAGCGCGAGGACAGGCGAGAGAGACACGACGCGTCCCACGGCCCCGTCACGTGACGTCTATTATTCACTTCACTTGCCCGTTCCGTCCGCTGTTAAACAAAGCGCTTTTCGGGACTTTATTAACATTTTTAGGCAGTAAATAGTCAATTATTATGTTTTAGGATAGCAGGCATGACTACTGCACTTCTAGGACAACTGAAATTGGACAAACAATGCAGTCGAGTTTAGTTTATTTTATTTATTGTTTAGTTTAGTTTATTGTTCAGTACAAAAAAAAGTCTAAGGAAGCAGAATCCATCAACTCACCGACCTCCTGAACTGTCATGGTTTCTCTGATGGATGGATAAAAATGATCTTTCTTTTTCCAGAATTTCATATTTCAAATATATATATATATATATATATATATATATATATATATATATATATATATATATATATATATATATATATATATATATATATATATATATATATATATATATATATATACCTCTGGTCATTTTTGTCAGTTTCATCTTCCACTCACTTTACTACATTGAATACAATTTTTTGTTTCCATAACTGCACACACATTGTAAATTTCAACCAATTAGAGACCTTTATGACGTCACTCTTACTATTATTGTTGCCTCTGTTTGTGCATTCACTTGGTGTCCAAGTAAATCTGTGTTTCCTTTTGTAATTGGATTGTTTCATCACAAGCCCATGATCAGAAATAACACAACCAAGGTCAAATTCTTTTCCTGATTAAAAATATGAACGATCCATTTTGACTTACACAATCAGAACAGATAATCGTGAAATTAAAATTTGGTTTAATTTTACTTTTTCATTAAAATAATCTCTGGCTTGAAACTGCCGTCAAAGAATGCAGAAAATGTTCTGACACCGTCTGCACCTCATTTTGTGCGAGCACAAAAATGTGCTTCGCCTCAAGATATCACTGAGAGTGACATTATTTTAAAGGTTAATTTCACCACGTGGTTAAAAAAAAGAAAATTTTTAGGCAACAAGTGCAAGCCAAAAGGATGAGTCACACCCTTTTAAACAACAATCATAGAATGCAACAGTCAAAGAATTTGATGTATGTCAAAAATGTATGCAGATGTTTTTGTTTTTTTGCAAATATGTAAGTCTGTTCTCACTTTGCAATTGCGTTTGCTATCCCATAACAAAAGGGATCCATAATAATCTTTAAACTGTGCTGTCAGCTAACTGTGGCTTTCACTGTACAATCCAAATAAAATTGTCAAGTTCACCTGAATGTTGTTTGGGCTTATCTGGAACCACTTACTGATATCAAGAAGACTAAAATCCATCACTGAATTAGAAGATGCTGCAGCAAAAAAAAAAAACAGGTTTAGGGGCATACACACGCATACATTTTACTTCTGACTGACTCTGTTGTGGCAAGGAAAAAAAAAAGAAGCCTTGTTCAAAAATCCTTCACGCGTTCCTCTCATAAAGTCAGACTTATGAGTCAGGGAGAGGCAGCAGCAGATTCTTCACATCCGAAGAAACTTTTAATTCAGCAGACGCGTTGAAAGAACACGTCGGAACCGGTTTGGTCAGTGTGAACAAGCAAACGCGAACAATGGCGCCATAATGTGGTAATACTCCCTGTCGCACTACTGTGGCCTTTCTGCATAACAAAAGGCTGCACTTGAAAAACTGAAAAACTTTTATCAGCGTGTATTTCGGACAAGAAACGAGTGACAACGCCTACTGTGAAAACCTGGGCAGACGTATGCACCAGTCCGGTACATAAAGCTCTTCTCCATCCGATTCATTTTTGTGTCCTAATAGTTAGAGATTTTTCAAACCCTTGGAAGAGCTTGTGTTACGCCATACTAGCCTTCAGTGATGTCATTTGGCCAAAAGGCATGTTTGACCCATAAACAAGACTTCTAACAACAAAAAAGCAGGATTGAAGCACGGCGACAGCAGCATCGTTGTGTAAGGGTTTGCTTGTTTTTCAAACTGGACCAGGGAGTGGGGGTTTGCAAAGGTCGACTAAAGTTCTGTGCAGCTCAGTGTCCCTTCATCATATCTGCAACGTTTGTGACCGACCACAAACGAAGTGGATTTTAGTCCTGCTGGTGTGGTGTTCGGGTGCTACTACAACTAGCAAGGGCTGAAACTAAACCAAAGCAGAATATTTCAGACACAATTAAAAATTTCAGACTAGCTCATTTTCTACATTTTGTCACCTTCCAACCACAAGATTCAACATGTTTTGTTTGGAATAAAAACAAAACTTAAAACACTTGAAGAATGTGTTTTGCATTTGTTTTGTATCCCGTTCGAATCATTACCCCGATGAACGTTTTTGCTGCAATTACAGTTCTTTTACCATGTGACTCGACCAGCTTCTCATGTCTCGGGACACAACATTTCCCCAAAGTTTCTTTGCAAAATAGCTACATTTCTGTTAGATTAGGTGGAGAAGAGCTGCTTCAGTCGACTTTTAAGTCTTGCCACAGAATCGCAGTCATGAAGGAAGCGGGAGTACCAGGAGAGAATCTGCCAGCGCACAGGGAAACCATGCTAACAATGCAGTAAAGTACACAGAGGAAATAGTGCCTCCTCTTACCCCAGTATTTCACTGATTTTGTCAGCATTTTTATATTCTATATTATAATGGACTGTTGTGGTATTTTTTAAACCTATAAATATGTCATAGTATTAGTACCATCTAATACTGCTAAATGGTCAAGTTTCCTCTGCCGTGTTTGACTGTTCACATGAGATGTCACTGTGTTGGTTTTCACCAACTGTAGCTCAGCTCTGTAGATGTTTACCCAAACATCTATTCTTTCCTCCTGTTTGTTCACAAGCACATTGTTTGAGTTGTATTGACACTTCACTCTGATCCAATTCCCAGGTATGTCCTTTTTTGTCGTAATCTTTTAAGATGGTAGAGACCTGCTGCTGGTTTAAGGAGTTATTTAGTTTTGTGTTTTTCTGGCTATTTTATGATGTCAACATTGCTTTATATAGTCTCAAATGTGTTTTTTGGCTCTGTTCCTTGAAAATGACAGTTGTACTGGAGGAAAGGTGTCATGAATCACTCCCCACTGCATTTTCATCCACCCACCAACCAAGTCTGAATGTTTTTGTTTTTCTTAATCTGAAAAAAGATCTCTTACAACACACAGATAGTCGCAGCTTAAAATCAGATTCCCCAGAGACCTCAGAGATTACAGTTTCTTTCTTCCAGATCATTTAAGGGTTTTTTGTGTGTGTTTTTTAAACATGTTAACATTCTTATTTCATAAGTTTAAAAAAATTCTCTTATATTTATGGTTTAAAACCACTAAGGTATACTTTTAAATTAGTTTTCTCCAAAAACGTGAAGCCTAAACTCAATGATAAATTTAAGATCAATTCAATTTCAATGGCAAAGTAATGTTTGATTTTTTACCTTGACATTGGCGCCATCTGTTGGTAGAAGTGTAAAAAGCAACGGCATAAAATTAGGTTCATCTGTGCAAAAATCTTCAGATTAAATCATTTTTCTTTTTCAGAAAATGAAAAGCAAACTGTGTTTTTTTTTTCAGAAAATGTCTAACTTCAGTATTTTGCTCTGTATCGTGAACATTTCTTGTCTAACATTTGTCAAAGGAAGTAAATAAAACACAGCAAGATGCACCACAAGATGCAAATAATTGAAATTGTGGCGTGATCTACATTCCTGTATTTTGGTCAAAACTATAGATAAAAAAAGGTGCCCCTTTTTTTAAGCCTGCTTAAAATGAAGTCCAAAATAAGGCCATGACCAGATTTGAGATTATTTTTGGTGAGCATTTGATTTCACTATGTAATGTTTAATCGTTACAACATCAAACTTGCCTGCAAACACTCTGGGATGTCATTTATAAAGCGCTGGAAAATAGAAATGGCTTTAAAACACAGTGTACGACTCGACTTGAACGCATCACTGTACACCTGTTGGACGGCTGAAAACACCGGAAGTCCACGGAGAACCAAATAAGGGAGAGCGCCCAGAATCAAAGCGCGCATGCGTATATTTATCAAAACACCGAAGCTGCAGCGATGATTTTATGACGATTTTCTCATTATTGCCGTCATGCTGCTTTTTATTGCCGTTCAATTTAGCCACTCCAACGCTGGTAACGTTTACGTTTCGAGTCCGAACAACTGAACATGTTTTATTCCGCGATAAGTAAATATGACCAACAGAAAGCTGGGGCGACAACATGCTATAACATGCTAACAACGAGCTAACTGACAGTTTGGTCTTGTGGGCAATTTGGATGAACAAAACTAAATGGTGCTGGAGTTTAACTCTTGTATTTTGACACTCCGAGAGTTCAGTGAACATAGCTCCGAGGTCTAGCGTCGTATTTCATTATTCCTACTGGTCCGCTGTGCGAAACATTTCAGAGGATGGATAACGTTACAGTGGCAGCCGTAGAGGGGACCGCTGTCTGTCCCCTGGTCGCTGAGGACATGGAGGGGATCTGCGTGATGCCTGACCTGAGCTCCATCAAGACCGAGCAGTCCGTGGGTCCGACCCCCGACGAGCCCAGCCCTCAAAATGTGGCCATGGGCATCAAGTTCATCCTCCCCAACCGCTTTGACATGAATGTCTGCTCCAGATTTGTGAAGTCTCTCAACGAGGAGGACAGCAAGAACATTCAGGACCAGGTGAACTCTGACCTGGAGGTTGCTTCCGTCCTGTTTAAAGGTACGAGGTTCGTTTCTGTCATGCGTCATCCTGCGTGTGCACTCAAAAGGTCTCCTTTCTTCCTTTCAGCTGAGTGCAACATCCAGACCTCGCCGTCACCGGGGATACAAGTACGTCACGTTTACACGCCGTCCACCACCAAACATTTCTCCCCGATCAAGCAGTCTACCACACTGACCAACAAACACCGTG